CTGAAAATAAGCAAATGATTTGATATGCATACATGCCCCATGGGCCTGTACAGGTTTCATGCTTGTTTCTACTCAGCTCAGAAACTCTGCCTGAACAACACGAGTCACTCAGCACACAGTCCATACTGTAATCCCAGCCAGCAGAATTCCCTGTAAGTGCTTTCTTTCCACACTACCCCTGGATCTCCTCCAAGTCTGACATAAAAAAAAAAAAAAAAAATTAAAAAAAAATAGAACAAAGGTCAAAAATAATGCAAAAGTGATAGTGGGGTTTTTTCCCCTTGTATTTCACAACTCAAATCCCACATAGTACATGCCTTCCATACTCAAAAGTGAGAGAGAATGCTAGTTGAGAGCCTGAGGAACGTCATGGCAGCAACAACAAAGACCTCGCCGGCTGAGCGACTGAGGGCTTGCCTCCAGCTGACCCACAGCCGTGACATGCTGGTGTAGGTGCTGTGAGGTTATTTATACTTTTCAAAAACCTTCTGAGGGGTTTTAATGACACCCTGCTGTTCGGAGCACTTTACCTGCAGGATTTATTGTAAGTTATGGTGTTCAAAAGACGCTGTGACCATAATGATGTTGCCAAGAGATGGGCTGACAGCTCCTTGTTCTGGTTGGGGATATAGTCAAATACAGAGGAAAACACAGGACTTTCCTCAAAAAGCAACGACAGTGTGGCTGCAAAGCTGTGGGCATCTTTTTCTTATTGTAAAAAAGTGAACCTCTCATCTGTCTGCATGAGAATAATGACATGAAAGTGTAACTTACTGACAAAAATCGATGGTTGAATATTGTGCAAAAATATTGTGTTCTGGAGTAAAATGGAGGGATACGGAGGTATATTGACGAAACAAAGATTTGAGCGAGCACAAATCGAATTCTAAGCACCCACTCAGTCTGCAAGTCAACATTTGAGAGTGCAAAGGCCCAGATTTGTAAGAGCAGAATTAGATTTGAGTGTGTTGCTGTTCTGGCAGCTTCTGAAACCTTTGAGATGCAAAAGATAGCTTGCCAACCATTTGAGTAGCAAGTTGCAACAGGACACACCCACATCTGGACATCAGGGTCATGTCTTTTTCAGACTTAAAGTCCACACAAGGAAAAATATATTCTTTTTGAATATATTTCTCCTTTGGAAGCACTGTTGACAATGTGTGATTTGATTTTTTATGCCTATATGCAGTATTGTTTAGCCTAAAATTTCCATTTCTGTGGATCTGCACTGTAGATTGAAGTTGAGCCAAATTCTGCTTCCAACTGTCTGACTGTCTGGTGATCCAACCGTCGACTAGTTTATTCATACCAGTATGCTGAATTTGTGCCACGCCTTCCTGAAAATACCGTCATTCTGAATGTAGCCACAGCCCATAATCCTTTTATAGTTATTAGTGGTATTTGTTTCGTTTTTGTATCCCACATGGAGCTGGATACAAGTTCTGCATCCTACATCTGGTTCAGAAAAATCACACAGAAATTAACATAACATAACCGCTAGTAACTACTTTTAAACGGTCCAGTGTGTAACATTCAGGAGGATCTATTGGCAGAAAATAATTATTCACAGGTATGTTTTCGTTAGTGTATAATCACCTGAATATTAATATAATATCGTTGTGTTTTTGTTACCTTAGAACGAGCTGTTTTTATCTACAGAGGGAGCGGGTCATCTTCTACGGAGTCCACCATACAGTAGCTCAGAACTCACAAACTAAATACTGACTCTAGACGAGGTTTCTCGTGTTCTTTTTGCAGCCACCATAGTTTCGGAGCGGGAGGGTGAGTCGAGGCCGTTGCTATAAGCACCTACACCGAAACACTAGACCTTTAAATTAACCTGATCCTACTCCACCATAACGGGATTTTTTAATGCGATTTTTGTCATTTAACATCAACGCATTTTAATTTTTAAGATAATGCAGACAAATGCTGCTCTTTGTATCCATCTGTTGTTTAAAAAACATCACTGTCTCTGCTTTGTTTATGAGAGTATAAGGAAGGAGACTCTAAAATGATGACCGTCCACTTCCAGGTCAAACTGAACAGGTGACACCCAGTCCTCAGGGGACCCCAATTGTGAGCTTTGATCCTTCCCAGCGTGAGAATACTGTTTGCTCAAATATAATTACATAATTCCTCTGGTGAAATCCTCCTGTTCTGCTGACGATTCTGTCCTCCCTCGCACAAAAGTCAGATTCTAACGAAAGTTCATAAACAACTTTAAAATTATTGTTGGTATTCCGAATCAATTTACAATCCTAGGAAGTATTACAATTCTTATGTAAAACCCTCTGTGCAGCACCAGAGCCAGATCAAAGTTATTCATCTGAGAGAATTTATTAAAGGGAACACAGCCCCATCTTTTTTCACTTTAAACACTCTTTTAGTCCTGACGCGTGTAAATCATCAGTATCATCACAGCACTTAGTCACTGAGTCACACAGAGGTTGAGGCTATTATGAATATAATGCCATTCAAGTGCATATTTGTTGTATGCCCTGTGATTGTCCTAAGTACAAAATAAGGTCATGGTTTACCCTTTATCCACCACTAATAACCACAGAAACACACACACACACACACACACACTCAACAGCTGAAGGTGTGAAAGAAGGGTCTAAACTAACAGTAAAGTTAAAATGACGGCACGATGCCATCCACGACTTAGTGATGACTAAAAGGCGTCACAGCTGAGGCCACTACCTAACCTCGGGACTGTGAGTCATTGGTGTACTACAACGGGGAGAAAGGGTGACATCATTCTAGAGTCATCATCCTCTTCGGATGGGCTCCTATAGAAAGCTCTCACTATGCACGAGGGGGGCCTACTTTCTGAAAACCACGTGACCTTCTGGTACTCTGCAGGCTGCACCCAACTAGAAAATGCATACTAGTGCATGCAATGTGCGGATGTGTAAAGTGCCAGGTTGTACGTGCAGGACTACAATACTACAGTGGAAGGCGATTCTTTCGCTAGGTGTTGGTGAAGCCTCATTGTTTACTGAGCACAGATCACATCTCAAGAGGAGGCACCACTTTGGCACATGATGCAACCATGGACATGCCACCGATCAGCCGTCTTCAAAAAGAGAAGCTGATAAACGATGATAAAAAAAAACAAAAACGCTGTTAATCTGCATTTTTTAACACCGGCAACCTAGTTCAACTTGTTCCTGCCAGCGTGTTTAGTGGAAAATGAGTGACACACACACATACACACCCACCCAGGTGTTTACAGGACAAGAGTAAGTTATAGACACCAAAACAAAAATGTGCACAAAAACACCCCCCACCCGCCGAAGAAATGCGAGCCACCCCGAAGCGTGCACGCCGTGGGTTGCCCTCAATTCAAAACAGCCAAAGTATGAAAACGTAAACAAAAGGCTTAACTAACATTTCCCTTGTTCCCCCCTCCCCGGCACCTTTACCACATCGATAAGCAGCCCGTGGGGAGATAACTCTGACGGGGCCTCTGTGGGTGGTGGGAACCCGCTCTGGCCGTTGTGCAATGGTGCTTTCGACAGTGTTCTGCAACAACTGCTTACCATACGGATCCGTAAGCACCGGAGCCGACGGGAGATAAGTGCTGATACCGCTCCGGGACCTCCCACACGGTTTTGTTGAGCTCCTGTCGGTAGAAAGTGGGTCTCTCCTTCTGCGACATTCCTGCGGATTTACCAGCCGCGCAGTGACAAAACAAGGCAGCGGAAACTTCTGCCCTCTCTCTCCTCTCCTCTCCTCCCCGTGTGGCACGACGGTGTGTGTGTGTGTGTGTGTGTGGTGCAGCTGCTCCCTGGTAGAAAAAAAACTCAACCCTGAGACGGTCCTGAATCGCACCAAAACTTCGGCCGCCCTTGTCGTGCAAAATTCGGTGCAGCTGTGCAAAAGAGAAAATCCCCACCTCTCCGTGCACGCCGGGGCGCTTGGAGACAACTTCCTCTAGAAAACGCGCTCGGGTCAGGAAGCTCAGTCTGGACGAGCTTTCGTTGAAATGTTTCGCCCTGTTCTGTTCGCTTGGCTGAGGCGCGCGCAAACGTGAACGCGTACGTTTCTTTCGTCACACTGCGCGCCCCCGGCTGTGAACTGTGTGTTTTTTTTCTCTCTCTCTCTCTCTCTCTCTCTCTCTCTCTCTCTCTCTCTCTCTCTCTCGCGAGAACTGGGTCGCTATTGAGAAACCAGGGGATATCCCGTCCGTGCTGTAAGACGTGAGTGGGAATCTCCCTCTGTCAGTCACGGAACATGTTTTGCCTGTTTGAATGTACCATTTACATTATGTAATAGCAGGTTTACAGTGTTTACTGAAAAACACCTGAATGGAAACTGAATGAAGCAATAACATCTCTTTAACTCATCTGCCTCTGTCAGATCCACAATTACAGAACTGGACTAATCTACCTGGGGAACTTCATATCATATGTTATATGTTATTATAAACCATGTTGTGATTATATATCATATTTATACAATATATTATTATTATATTAATAATAATTGTATTATTATTATTATTATATTACATATATATTTATTGTATCTTTCTTGTATAGTCAAGTATCTATTATACATATGTTATATATCATATCTCGTGTGTATATATATATATATGTGTGTGTGTGTGTGTGTGTGTGTACATATAATACATACACATATTATTATTATTATTATATACTGTTATTAACCACAACACTACCTTATCATCAGTACTAATACCACCATCTTGCAACTACAACTTCTTTGCACCTTATCTACCTCAAGTATTTTATTCTATTGTTGTATTTTATTGTATTTAGATGTACCTGGCTGCTATGACGACCCAATTTCCCTTCGGAGATTAATAAAGTCTATCTATCTATCTAAAAATTGTAAACAAAGTAATGCACATTGGCTGTAATATTATTGGACTCCATGGACTTTGTTTTACTACTCAATCACAATTATGTAATTACGATAAGTAAAACATGTCGATCAATGTAAAACATAATGATTGATTGCACAAGTACCAGTATTTACACTTTTATTAAGGCACAGGCCTAAAAATAGCAAGAGCCATCATTTCTTTTTTTATTAGCTGCATAATTAGTTGAAAGGAAATCACCTGTACGTAAACAAGGTGAGACAAGAAACTGTGATTCGATTGGTCAATATGTAAAATATCATAAGGACAAAGGATAATTACAAACAGGCCTTATTCATGGCAGAAATGTTGATATGTCGCAGTAGGAAAAGCACAGGTGTGAATAATAAAATACTGTCTGAATTTAATTTAGCTGCTTCTGTTTTCAGTTTTCAATAAAAAGGAAATATGGCACATTTATACATCTCCTAATGGCAGGTTTGTGAAGAGCGCACTAGAGGCAGAAGCCAGCAAGAGGCTCATGGCATGTGTAAATAAGGCATAGGGTTCATTGGGTGAGATTAACACCCGAAGACTCAGCGTGTAACAGGACATCTCTGTTTGTTCCCATTTTCCAGGAGCACAAAATCACCAGCGCTGAACAGTACAGTACAATAGTACATACAAATACTGCTGCCTGGGTGCTTCTTCAGTCCAAGTTTGTTGGAAAAAAAACATCTGACCTGTTTGACAAAAAGTATATGGGAGAATGAAAATCCCTAAAATTGTGGGGATTTCTCTGGGGACTCTCTGTAGCAGTCCCTGGTGGGTTTGTGAGGGGAAAAATTAATAAATACAGAGATATACTGGGAGGAAAGATGAGATGATGAGATATGACTTATTTTACACAAAGACCTGAAGTCAACACTGCACATACCATAGATGGCTTTAAAAATGAATTATGTTATTGTCCAGGAAGGGCCAAAATTAGTCCTCTGGCCTCAGTCCAATCCAGAGTTTGTGGCAGGAGTTCAGAACTGCTGGTCACTCAGTCCTAATGTGTCCGGACAGAGCTTGAGCAGTTTTGCAAAGAATGGCGGATAAACTGCTTAGACCAGCTCTATACATATACAATAGACTCAGGGATGTAACTGCTATTCAAACTACCTTAACTAAATATTAACTTGAAGAAGGTGAATACGTATACATTCAATCATTCCAGTTTTTACTTGATTTATATGATTTTTGTACTTTATTTGTGTTGATTAGTGCCAAAAAACAGCATATATGTATAGAGGCACTAAATGTCACTGAGACCTGACATTTGTTTCTTAAAGACAACGAACACAGAAATTGTCTGATTAATGTTTTACTCAAAATTGCATTGCATCCCTTCCCAAAACAATTTCTTCTTTTAAAAAATAAAAAATAAGGTGGCAGAATTAAACTTAACAGCATGTAATTAAGATGGCATTAGAAGCACCATCCCTATTTGGCATTGCATTTAATCTTCAGGCATGTCTGATATAGTGATTTAATTTTCACAATTAGTTGAGTTATTACTCTTGTGATACTCCACAATTGTGATAAAACTTCCTGCGTGACTTACAGTTCCATTTTTAACCATTTCTGACATTTAAAACATGTTATCTAGTTTTAGATGTCAAAGGAAATACAACATACACCTGTGCAAAATGTGTATTTCAAACCTAAAACAAAGAGATACAAAACAGCACTGTTAAGAAAAGATAAGAGATGCATAAAAGTAAAATATTGTGTACACAAGAACATCTTAATATATTAGCTTTGTTTATCTTCCCCTCCACCCTTGACAGAAGAAGTGATAGAGAAAAAAAAACAGTATTATTGGGAGCAAGCAGAATTGATCATTGTCATTTTGATCAAACATAACCTCTGACAAATCTCTACTGGTCATATCTTTTCCCAAATATATACAGCTAGGCTAATTTTAGGTTGTATACAGGTATAACGCACACGCTGCCCTTCAATCTCCTGCATCCTTCAGTATAAATATTTATGGGGTGTGGATGGAGACAACCAACATTATTACCCTACAACAAAATGATACCATGTGACCCAACAGGCTCTCTCCTCTGTAATAACTGTGGGGTAGATTCAGGATGCCCTTCATGTCTGTAGTGCACCCACATAATTAAGGGAGGAATGATGTACCCAGTCACCAGAAGGGGGCAGCACCGGCTAGTCTTTCACATAGGTCCACAGGGCCAGGGGTTTCATCAGTCATGTAATCCAAGAGGAGTCCCACAACAAGGATTAGCACATGAACACAGAGATGAGTCCATTCCCAGTCTGCACACGTCCAGTCTTTTCCAGTCCAGTCTGTTTCTTATCATTTCAAGAAGACAATGTAGAAAGCCATAGCCAAACAGGAAGCTGCCACGGCAATGTGAAGCCGTGTCCCAATTATCGCCGCTGAGAAGAGAGATGGAGGATCGAGGGGTGAGTGTAGAAAGGTCAACCACACACATACAGATCAAGGAGAATATAGTAAACCATGTAAACATATGTGTTATTAGTGTGGTCTGAAAATATTCAAGAAAAAAATAAAACTTTATTGTCACTGTACTGCTGTGCAAGACATCAACAAAACAGAATTATTTGGGCAGTGCCACAATTTCTGTTGTTTTGACTTCTGTACAACACAACGCTAAATCTCTCTTTTCACAATGGACAATCTTACTTGTTATAGCAGTGAGAGGACAGGTGGAATTAATAACATTAACAATGGCTTGGCTCCATTTAAGTATCCCAGTAAGCCAGTATGCCAGTGAACCAGCATACACACCTGAGCTGGGAAAACCATATGGGCCGCATCATTTATTAATGTTATTATTTACACTTGTTCTTTCTCCCTGCTATGAAATGTCAAAATGCCATTTGTACACGTACAAGTTCCACACTGCTAATGTTGCAGGTGGAGTGGATGGATGGAAATCTACAGATGTTGAAACACCTCTCCACTGTAACATACATCTCTTTTTCTCCCCAGCAACATATGTAGTAGACGCCAAACACACAATTGACATCTTCCACCCTTTCATAATTGATTTTGGTGTAACCACTTGTTAAAGAAAGAACTCTCAAGTTTTAGGTATTGCCATAGGGCGTTTTGAGTAGAAATCATGCGCTGAAAGAGCACATTGTTCATTCATTATAATACATCTACCTTTGTAGAAGACGCCCCACACTCCTTTCTTCTCTGACAGCAGCCAGCTGTTGAGGCGAGGCACCTTTTTAAGGTATGCACAGGTGCAGATGAACAGCAGCCCAAACACCAAGATACCATCGAAAGAGTACACTGATGGAAGAAGAGTAAGATAATATCATACAGTCTGCCTTACCTCAGTCAGCTCAAGCTAGTCACACAGTACAAAACTAAATCTGTAAGCTGAACTAAATGAGACAGAAATAACCACAGAAACATAATATGAAGACACGCGGGAGTTTAGCATCGGTCCACATTAACTTAACATCACAGAGTCATTTAAAGAATAACACAAACACCCTGTCCACCATTACCCTACATGTACAAGCTCCTACTGTTATAAGTAGCTTAATAATAACGCACAACAGCAGAAAAAGGCTGATATTTTCAGGACTAACGTCAGTTAACGTTACCTTCTTACAGGTTTTCTTTATTTTATTCTATTAATGTTGTTGTTGATTAGCTGGTTGTCTGATTTGTTTAGCATTAGCCACCGATACTGTAACGTTAGTCAACCCTAGTTAGCAAGAAACCCTGAAGCCTGACAAAGAAATACGATGTTACTAGCATAAAATGTTTGAACACAAGAGCTTTTCGCTAAGGACGACAAACTCTGCCATTAATCTGTAATTTATAACACTGTTAAAAGGAGTAAATAAGTAATAGTTTTGGTGGCAGCAGACTAGCAGTGCTGCCCAGGGCCACGTCTACACCTAAGCTAACCTAGCTTCAATGTTAGCCTCCCGTTCAAGAAGCAGCTAACGTTAGCTTAACTGTCATGTCCTGTTGTGCTACAGACATTTCTTAGATAGTTGCATAATACAGTAACCTACCATTTGTCATATTCGCAGTTTGCTCCTTGACGATATTATATGACTGTTTCTTCCTTTACATTAGCAATACATCATGTATTACAGTGGAGATATGATGCAGTCGGTCGGTTGACATTTCCGGTTTCACTGGCTTACGATCTTCTTTTAGGTTTCATGTTTGTTGTTGTTCATCTACCATTACTGCCATCTACTGGAGTTTATGAGCTACAGCCTGCCTGAGATTTATATTCATCCATAAAATTACTTTACTGATATACGATAATAATGCACATTTACCTTAAAACCTTAAGCAGCTGATAGTTTTATCGTATCTTCCCATAAATGTCACCATGGTAACCTTCAGTTCATACAGTAAGGAGGTAGGAACAAGTTAATTATATTCTAACCCAATCCAGAGTTATTAATCAACAACCAAAAGACCTAAAACTGAACACACTGAACTATTTGGGGCCAAAAGGACACTTAAAAGATAGAAAAGTATTTTTTTTTTAAATATTGTCCATTAAGTGTATTGTCATCAACATGTTTAAGATGTTTTAATCAAAAGGGTTGAATTGAATAAACAACGTAAGTAAAAATATGGTACATTTTTGTTGTGGTTCTGTTGTAAAGATGGTTAAATGGTCCCTTACACCCCCTCCTGTACTGTAGAAGGAAGACAACGACAGGATTAACAAAGTGGTGAAAAATGCTGGCTCTGCTGCAGCTCTGAACACGGACACACCTTGGGCAGAAGGCTACATGGGGAAAGGATGAGGATTAAACTGAGCTTCCAACCACACTAAAATGAGCTGACACCACTATACAGCCACATCCACCTCATCCCCCAGGGTCCACCATGGAGCAATTTGTGCTGACAGCCATCATCTATTCCTGAGTGCTTTCTGTCTGAATATCCTCAGTCTCAGCCACTGAGGAGGGTACTGAATCCGGGTACCTGCGATACTTGGTGTTACTTTACAATTTGCTCCAGACTAACTAACCTGTAAAAAGAAATAGCCTGTACAGTTTAAAGCATATATCAATAACAATCTGTATAGTAACACTATATCTGCCATACTGTGCATATGCTCTACCACCCCTGTTTCAAACCTCTGGAAAAGCATTATGGTCAGGCTGAAAACATTTTTTTTATCACAATGTGTACTGTTTTTGTAATACACCTGTACTTTGTCACATTGAGTTGTGTAATGCATATGTAATGCCTATTCACATGCCTTAACCTCGGCTTTCTGCTTAACTACAGCCATCCTTTTTGTTTACATTACATCTCTATCTGCTATATTTCACGTATGTATTGATTAGTCCCAATTTATTGTTTTCACTCGGGTAATACTATGCATGTTTTTCATCGCAAGCAACATCTACTGCCGCTTTTTGGAAAATCCTCTTACCATCGTCATTTGCACTTTGTTCATGCTTAATCCCTACATTTCTATTTAATATGTTGTAGGGATGAAATTATTTGTCTTTGCTACACTGACCTGATTTTGCCTCAGGACCATGGAAATATCCTCATGGTCTGTTTCACTGTGATATTTTTACATCTCAAATGTAATTTGTAGGCAGCAGGACAGTGGTGTGTAACTCTATATTGTGGGAAAACTAGATTAAAGATAGATTTAACACTACATTAGAATTGAATGTAAATCTGAAATATACCTCACTCCCCTCAGTGTCTGTGATAATTGTTGGATCCACAAAAGCACTAAAGCCATATTTGTTTTGTTGGTATTTCAGGCTGCATTATCCTAATCAATGTCATTGCATTACATTATCCTAATCCCTCCATATGTTGTTCCTGCCTCAGAGACAACAGAAGTTTCTCTCCTTATGGGAACAAGGGTGGATCAAAGGGTTGTAGGACAGTTAATAAGATTTGATGACAGGAGAATGTAGCACACCTGTTTAGATCAGCGTCACTGTAGCTGCAGCTTGCTGTGCACCCTATGAACAACAGCAAGCTTCTGCTCCTTCTCCTCCACCATTTGCTTCTGCGTAAACAGCACATCTCACCTTTCAGCAATGCGACTCTACAACAGCACACAGGTGAGACTTTTTTATCATTACTTCTGTGGTGTGATGTGATGTTAGTAATGATGTGGACAACAACTGGAAGTTAGTAAATTATTTATCATAACCTGAGGGGGAAAACATCTGATTATGCCTTATCATATCTGAGTTGGGCAATGTTTGTTCTGGGCTCAGGTTTTCAAAGAATGGGAGAAGATTAGGACTTCAAAAACCGGGATAAAGTGGAAATAACATTTATTTTCATAACAGGAAGCTCATACTACAGCCTTTATATGTAGAGCAGATAATATTCATAAACCATGTTGATTTTATTTTGCACATTTTCTTGTCTTTACTATGGATGTATGAAAGTCACTAAACTGACCGAAAGCATAATTTGTGACCGTCCTTTAATCCATTAAACATATCGACTAAGTAGCTTCTTGTTTTTGAAAACAAAAAACAATGTTTTGATGTAATATACAACTCATTCCTACAACAAAATACTATATACTGTCATATCATCTCAACAATGACTTCCTCTTCATGTGGATGTGAGTATGTAAAGAGGTGTTGATTCCTGTTTTTTTGACTAAGTGTGGTCTGTGTGAATTTGCGTGTTTTAAGGCTAAAAAAATATACAAAAGATCTTTACATCAATTCAATTTTGCAAATGGAATTGACTTACTTTCCTGCTGTTTTTCATTCAGGCATCACAAAAAACAGGTCTTCAAAATAGAAGAGGTAAGATAAAGTCAAGTTTGTATTGCTTCAAAAGAAACAAATGAAATGATCTTCTCATTTAGTCGGAAGTTGTAGCCGATCACTTTTAAAGTCACTCTTATAAGACATATAACTTTAACATAAGCAACATCTTTTTTTAAAAAACATTTAACTACATAAAGATAAAAGACTGACAAGGATTTGTGACTGTGTGTGCTGGCTTGTACTTATGTATGGCAGAGAGACATCACTGCTGGATGGTCCCATCACGCCAGGTGACAGAGAGTCAGCAACAGGAGGGTGGTGACCTCATCAAACCCATGATGCCAAATCCTGTCCTGGCTTCTCATCAACACAGAGCCCTTCACCGAGAGCTGCTATTCTGCTACAGACAGTGAGAAAACACTGAGCTCCGTACCTGCTGTCTATGATCAGGTCACATAGGCTGCGGGTACATGCTGATCCATGTACACAAAAATGAGATATTAGTCAAGGAACATCTACCAGAGTGTTTCTCTTGATCAGCATTTTATTCGCCTCCTGCAGAGAATCCTCTTTCCAGCAGGCCAGAGTTGTGGCCGGGGATAAGCAGCATGTTTAGGTGGCGTTTAACACTGATCAAGTCAAAGGTAAAACACCTTGCTAGAGATCAATGCTAATCTCACTACACAGCCAAGTCAGTGCTCTTAATCTCTTCTGTCAGACAGCAAAAACAATATCACCACCTAAAAAAAGAATTTGGTTTGTGAAGTATAAAAAAAAATTAGAAACCCAACAACATTAAATCCAAATATGATATGATTACTCAATATAAACCCCAGACTTCATCATTAAGCTGAATTGAGAATTGCTTTCCATTGAAATACACCCACAACACTCCAGGTAAGAAGTTTTATGCGGTTTTTTGGTTGCTTATCCTCATCTAGAGATCCCATCTTATTTTTTCCCCCATGTGTCATCAGAGGTCTACTAACCAGAAAACAGCCGGAGCTGCAGCGTGTGCTGGAACAGAAACAGAGAGAGCAACACAAGCAGAGAGAGCTGGCCCTCTGTCCTCCCTCTGACTTGGAGGTGAAGCTATGCACGAGACAGCAGAGAATGCAAGAGGTAAGGATGTTAGCGAAGAAGGGAATACGGCATACAGTAACCTTATTATTACAGCATTTGTAATAATCTATTTAGTCTTTGAGCATGTGTGAACAAGCCTGCAGATATTGGCAAATGTACAATCTCATTAAGGAGGATGTCCAAACACAGATGTTTCCTGTCTTGCAGTACGAGCTGGAGGAGAAGAAGAGGAGTGAGAGCCGGAAGAATGAACCAGAGTTTGTTCGTGTGAGAGGAACCCTGAAACGTAGCCAAACGTTTTCCTTGTGACGACCAGAGTGTAGACAAACAAACAGTTAGCAGACAAGTTCCCACAATCAGTAAAAAGGAATGATTTTTGATTGACAACTGCATATTTTTCAGATTGGATTAACCAAAACTCATTTATTTTGAGAGTAATGTTTAAGCATAATGGATCATCAATTTATTGATAATTTGGAGTTAAAATGTTGTGTTTAAGCCATCAAGCAAAAAAAAGGGTGTTTTTACGTTAGAACCATTTGTTAATGGCTATATAAAGTTTTGTTTAAAAATAATTTATCAAGTCCTCTTGGTAACAATTCTGCCTTTTGTAGAGACTTTTACAACATGTTTGCTTTTGACTATGACACATCCTTTTTATACAATGACTATATAAGAATATAAATGACAAAAATACATTGAAAGTTTTTAATAAAACATCCAGGGAGGCTGACCATGTACGTAAAAACAAACACTGAAACTTAAATTGTATTGGATCAGAATCTGCTAGTGACAACAGTGAAAAATAATCATGTCATTGTTTATAAAAACGTAACAGCGGTCATTAAAATGAACTTGGACGTGGCTCTTTGAGCAGCACTCCTCATCTGTTTGTGCTCCAACATATCGTACCCTTTAAGTCAACGCTGTACACATTTCACAAGTTTTGGGACACAGCTACTGACATCACATCATTGAATAATGACTCATGGACTTTAAAATTATATTTCTATTTAAAAAAAAGTGACCAAGTGCCAGCTGGTAGTCTATATCAAGTTTCTCAATCTGAAGCTGCAAACAAACATTCACCAATAACTTGATATCCATGCACAGTAAATATACTGACCTAAACTTTAAAGGTTCCATTCGTAAGATCTGAAGCAATTTACGTATTATGTGTATGTATTAATTAAGGTGGTGATCTGGCTACCTTTACGTATGTAGGTTACTTTGCCGGCTGTCACTGCGGGGGCAGCCAGCGCCGGATAACGTTATTCAGCTGGCTGGCTAACCTTAGCTTCCCTGCTCGCTAACGTGAGATGAGTTGATATGTCCGTTGGCTAACATTAGCTTGCAAAATTACTTTCCCAGCTAACATGATCCATGATACTAACTTATGTAGTATGACAAACTGTGTTGATTTTAGCCAACAATAAACTACGTAACGGAAACAAAACAAAGGATTGCCGGGGGCAGGGGCATCCAGCTAGCTAACTGTAGCCTAAGCTAAGCTGTGGCTTGGCTGCGTGTTGTGTGTCTGACATTGGTTGCTTCATGGTGTTGGCTGATGGGATTTGTAAACAGCAAGCTGGTTAGTAGCATGAAGTCAATGGTCCAAATAAAATACAGCAACATTGCCGAAAGTAATGTTATTCTAAACATGACTGTAACTGTATTTTCCAGCCTTCAGTCTTGTGTACAGTTTGTCCCTTTTGGCCGATGCCTAAGATGCTAGCTTGCGCCCGGACTGTGTACAGAGTGCAAATGCGAGCAACGTGTTGTTGACTGCAGTTCCCTCAACAGACACTGGTGTCACTATGAACAACAGTTTTCTGAAAGTTATATAGAGAACCTTTAAAGTGAGACTGTTTCAGGAATAAGAAGGCCTGCTGAATAAAGCACATTAAACCATTTTCTCTTACACATTCTTTGTACCTCCAAAACACATGACACATTGTGTACCATTGGCAGTAAACAAAGGTTTTACATTTAAAAAGTTAACATTTCTTGACCATTAATTCGGTGAATTATATACGAGCCCCCCCAACACATTTATAAATACAAACTCTACTCACAAACAGCAACCACAGCCACTGTGCTTCTGTCCCAGCTCAATATCAGTGTGTTGTGTTTGCTGCAGAATAAATTAACAATAAATAAAATACAAAACAATTTGCTTTCACACAAAAAAATGTAGACATCATGGCAGGATAAGAATCTCCCATCTGTGTTTCACTGTACTATCTACTACACTGAAATAACCTTAAACATATCTCATAGTGCTGGAAAATATTAAGCAAAAGGTACAGCAGAAGAAGCACTGACAGAGGAGAGAAGTAGGCCACCAGTGTGGTAAACTGTAGGTAAGGAGAGCACTGACATAAGCATGGGTCCAAATAACAAGGCCAAAGGAGTTTACAAGTCAAAAAGGACACTAGGCTGAAGTTAGCTTCCTATTTAAGAGTTATGGGATGTTCTTTTTGAGTCATTTCTCTCTTGTTACTCCACTTAAAGTTCTGCTTCCAAAAACAGAAAAAATGTGTGATTCAATTACTTGTTCTCCATCCAGACCACATCAAATGGACTAGATTAACACAGAGACTTCAGAGATAGTAGAAAAAATCCTGTTCTTTATTTGGTAAACCTTTATTAGGTTTGTGAAAACTGAAAAAAGAGGTAATGTCATTACTTTTCCTCCATCTAGACCACATTAGACCAGGTCTAGCTCAAAAACCATCATGCCTTAATTGGTCAAACCTATACTTAATGAACATGAAAACTCTAGTTCACTATAGTTTTTTAACCTGCTCTTACATGGTCTACGTGACGAAAAACATTGAAATCACCCTTTTTTTTGTTAACGGCATGAGAAAAATGGTTCTCTGAATCTGAAAGTGGGGTTTTTAAACAGGATTAAGGCATTTTTTATGATATCTGGGACCCGTCACACAACTTAAAATAGTGTAACAATGGAGAATTGGTTGAAAAACATTATGTCTTAATCTTTTCCCAAATTGAATAATACAAATCAGAAGCCAACTTCAGCCTTGTAAAAAGGACAAAAATTAAGGAATGCCATCCTTCCTTTGGCAGCACTGTGAGGGTGGCACACTCCAGTCATACACATACGATAATCGCAGCTTGACTTCCTCCTTGCAGAGCCTGCCATCACGCTGCAGAGTCTGGTGCTTTTCCAACATGTCCTCCAAGCTCTGCTTATGTGTCACCAGGTATTTGTTGTTGCAACCACGCGATTTGTACTCTGTGTCAAAGCGTGGGTCATGTGTCCGCCGAACATCCACTGGTGCCAGCCAGGCACCCAGTGACACATCCTCACTCTGCCACGTCTTGAAGTACCCTGCGTTAAGATGCACATAATGCACCAGGTCAGCTGAGAGGATGTATCCGCCACCCAGTGCGTACGGCAGGTAGTAGTCACAAAGCTCCCAAGAGCTTTCCCGCCACTTCCCAGCTGTTTTCACTCGCCCCCTCCCTGAGAAGAAGCCCCAGTACAACCGATTAGGCTCTTTCCCCTTCAGCTCCTCCTTAAGGAGGTCCAAGCGAGCAAATGTGTCATCATCTGCTTTGAAGACAAACTTGAACTCCACATTCTGGTCCAGCCAGGAGTACATGTGCAACAGCTTCAGAGTTAAGTTCTCGTAAGAATCTCGCAAGTCAGGCAACAAAAGCAAGTCCTTGTGCCGCCCTTGCTCGGTGTTAAGATTCTGAAGGTCCTCATTGGGAAGTCCCTGAGTTCCCACCACAAACATGGCCCGAACATCAGAGTCCCGCTTTGCCAGCCACGTGCTGCGGATGATACTCCTCCGCTCTGTGTACTTAGGTCCGGTTGTGATGAGGACCACAAGGAATGCTGACGAGTCTTTGGATGTGGAGGGGGCATTAGGCTGCTCTGGACGGGGCTGCAAAGCATTGGCATGAGGGGCTAGGCCAGGAGGATCCTGGTGGCCCTGTTTCAGGGTTTCTGAGGTACATTTGGCCAAGAAGACCAGAACTACAGCAAAGCTGCACACAGTGCCAATGACCAGCGCTGTCTTGTGGCGGCACACTAGACGCAAGAGATTCATGGTGCTGAGTCTGGGGTGAAAACACAAATGATTGTTAGTATTAATGTCAATAAAAATATCAGGTCAATCATCAAAACACCCAAATTATAGTTTGCAGCCATACATTTCTGCAAGCATCATCAGAAAACTGAGAACAGTTTGACTTATAAAAGACAAATCAGGATTTTTGGTTTCTCATTGTATAATTTAATGTATGTCTAACTGAAGGTGCAGTTATTAATCACACAGCACTGAATACTTGCTATTCTACGGCTGTGTTTACAGACATGGCAGACGTAAACAAACACGTACGAGCATCAGAAAGGATGGCTTATGTGTCGGTTAGTGTCAGCTTGTGCACATTCAATCCCTGTGCTTTAAAGTTTGGTACTGAGGCTACCATTTATTGCATTTGGATGCCATATTTTGCCTCGGATAACGGCAGCTATCGAGCAAGTAACCATCGCCTCAGCTGCACAGCCAGGATTTTTTAGCACCACCTGCTTGCTAAACTTAGTAGTAGAACTGTAGCCTGTATGCATGTGTCACATCAATGTTGTAAGCATGAATAAATGAAAGAGTATTTGTTAGTTACCTTAGCTTATCGAAAAGTACCTGTCCAGTGATAGATACAGCCAGGGCGGGCCACAGATAGCAGCTCTGCAGAGCTAACGCTAGCTACCGAGATAAGACCCTCTGCGCACTTTGTAAGCTCACTGCAGTCAATGCAAACACACACAAGTTGCTCATATTGGTCTAAACGGGAGATTGAAACCACTAAGTCTAGCGGCGTCGGTCAGACAGGTTACTATAAGCAGCTTAAATCGTCCGCTGGGTGAGTTGAGCCCGGTACCGATGTATTCATTATTTGTCTCGTAGTGTAAACCAAAATCAGTTCTGTGTGGCCGTGACGACGAGGAAACGGAAGTGAAGACCCCGAAAGAAGGGAATATTAAAAATGACACAAAATAAACACTCATATGGACAAATATTTTGTTTTTCTTTCTATAATTGTTGCTTTAATTGGAACAAATGACATACAAGCTACACAAAAATAAACAAACTATTAGCTTAACTTTGGGAATTTTTTGTTAAACAGTATCACAGTTACATTAGTTTAAAAAATAACAGTGCAGCGAAAACGTTTTCTTTGTTAAATGTGTCAAGTGTAATCAGAAATCAGCTGTAAAAGGACAGTGACGAGAGAAGTGAGCAGTTTGAAGACAGCTGCTGCTGCTTGGCGCATGCGCGTTAACGCCAGTATCGAGTGATGCAGCGTCAAGTTCGGAGGCATAACTAGAACGTGACCGGATGTAGCTTTGCTTCAAATAAAGTATTGCAGTTATTGTTTAGTATGTTGGACGTTTTGTTTGTTTTCCCGTGCTGTTCAGATCTGTTTTTATCATGACAGTGTGAACGGCACATATCTGATTTTCAATTCTGATTTGAGACACTTTTACAGGTGATACAAATCAGATACAGGTCTATTTTTTTGCAATGCGACCTCAGTGTAAACACTCTAGATACACATTTGTCAGCCAAACAATACAAATTAAATAAAACATCAGATCTGAGCAACAAATCAGACTTGAGCACTAGCCTTTCTTTGAGACTTCAAAACGGGTTCTGGGGTGTTTTATTTTGAAAACTGCAACCGGAAGCCCAACCTTCCATTGCGGACATGACACTGACGATTAGCATTCGCTGGAAAAAATATAATGGCCTCATCGTAGTAAACTAGCAAAATGTCGTTTGTACTTAACATCCAGTAAGTCAGCGCACCTGGTCATGTAAGCTCTTAGCTTGACACATCCTCCCGTTAGACATTAGCTTTGTATTAACGACACTTCACCGGGCTGCTCCGTAGCGACCTGACGTCAACGTTGGGACGAGGACATTGGTGAGCTATGACGGTTAGGAGAGCCAACCGACATCCTCGGACATGTCCGGCGTCGCTCGCCATCTTTCTGCTAATATTGACTGTGCAGTTGGTGAAAACAGCTTCTGAGTATGACCCCTACAAAATCCTGGGCGTGAGCAGGAGTGCGAGTCAAACAGAAATCAAAAAGGCATACAAGACCCTTGCCAAAGAATGGTGAGTGACTGACACCAGGTCCCCTAGACAATCACATCCCGGCTGTAACAGCCCTGTTCAGACAGCAGTGGACATTTGACACCTGAGCCGGTGTTTGTTAGACGTGTTTAACCCTGTATGACCCAGCAGTAAGGTTCAATTATGGTGTATTTGGCTTTTTGTTTTTAGGCATCCAGACAAGAACAAGGACCCTAAAGCTGAGGACATGTTCATCAAGGTTTCTAAGTCATATGAGGTGGGTGAGCATGCATGTACTGTTACAGCTGACACCTCTGACTGGCATTATGTTTCAGCAGTCTGTTTCACTTTCTGTATCATGGTCTGCAGTAATTACATCATTGATCTTACCTCTCACAGATTCTCTCTAATGAGGAGCGAAGGTCCAACTTTGATCGTTACGGGCAGATGGATGAAAACCAGCCCTTCGGCCAGTCCCAGCATCATGGCTTCCGCGGCTTCCACAACAGCTTCTACTTTGATGAGTCTTTTTTCCATTTCCCCAGGTACTCCATGTTCATTTATCATCTAGTCGGTGTCACTGTCAAAAGCAAAGTGCCAACATACTTCGGATCATATTGTGTTTGATAAGAGAACAGGTCTCCTCCCCTTTCTCTTCTGACAGAATATTTCTCTCTCCAACTTCCCATAACTTCATCAATATTTATTTCCCAGCATGCTACTGTTTCCAATCCATACTGGGCTAAGTGGTGTAGGTTGGACTCCTCCTTGTGTTTGCTTTCGGTTATTGAATGAGCATTAAACAAACCTACTGTCATCCTATGCCCAAGAGTTTTAGTTGCAAGCAGATATTGTTGTTTTGTAAACTTGTATGATAAAGTAATGTAGTGTGGACATAATAGAGCTAATTAAACAACAAAAACCCGATGACAAATGGATTAAATGCATAAAATGCTTGATGCTTGTTAAACCTTTTTAATGTTTTACCTGTTTTTTTGCCATAATAAGCAATTTAAAGACATTAAATTGAGCTTTGCTAACCTAATAATTGCTAGTAGCAGACAGACTTGATGCACTCAGATTTCAGCCTAATGACTTTTGAGAGCTTATCATTATTACTAAATGGAGAAATATCTTTGCACTCTTTTGTTAGATTGTTAGGTCCTTGTTAGGCCAGATATGTACGTTTACTCTTTTAACTATGCGGTCGCATGATGGCTGCCTTGTGTATCCTGCGTCCGTTTGGGCCGCTGGTTGTGCACGTCCTCAGAAATGAAGCAAGTAGTGAAATTGTCCTTTTTAATAAGTTGTTTCGGAGAAGGACCTCTATCTCTACTGAGCATGAGCACCAAGATTTAGAATGACTGAACAAATCAGAGTTTTAGACAGTTGTCCCTCAGGTCGTGCCCTGACAGCACCCTGTGGGATATGTCTAAAAATAGCCTCACTGACTTGCTTCTGACTCTCCTCCAGGTCCAGGGACTTTGCAGACAGCAAGTACCTGCTTCACCACGCACAGTTTAACAGCGATATCCTTCCAGACAGCCACAAGAGGCCGTACCTAATCAAAGCGACCTCCGAGTGGTGCTTTGCATGCATCCACATTGAGCCTGTGTGGAAGGAGACGGTGCAGGAGCTGGAGCCACTGGGTAAGTCTGCTGTCACCAGACTCCCATCAGTCCCGTCAGTCCCATCAGTCCCGTCCCCCCACACTCTGAGGATCAGGGTTGGTTTTCCTAAAAGCATCATAACATAGAGATGATGTTTATTCAGTTCCAGGCCATTAGGACAAATGTAATTCTAAGTGTTAAGATGCTTTACAGAGAGCCAGCCATTTCTATAATTATCCAGTAGGGTTTATTTGTTTCTCTTAGTTTCCTGCAACAAAGGGTAAAGCTAAGGGCTTTGTAGTCTGGCACTGGAGATGAATTTAAAGTTGTTGAGTTAATTCTACTATTTGGACGTACAGTTCCCAGTGTCCTATAGACGTGTAGTCTCATGCGTAAGCTGTAATAACTAGGTGGCCGACTCAGTACGAATAACCTTTACAAAACCCATTGCCTTTACTACACTAAGCAGTCATAACCAGTGGTATTTTTATTCAGTATGGATGAAAATGGATGTTACAAGATTTTAACAGGATGTAACCTAAAGTGAGCTCAGTACATAAAGTTATCTCTGGCTTAGCTTGATGTGTTTTAAGAAAAACACTGTCACAGAAAATGATTCTTGTTCTCTGGTTCTCAAACTATGGTGGTACTTTTCAAATGTACATTTTGAAATGAAATAAATTGATTTAAAAAAAACATAGAATACTATTAAAATACTACGAAATTTCGAATGAAAATACTTGAGAATCGTAATCAAGAAACTATGAGATTGCTGAAATGTAATTTTAAGTTTTGCATTTCTAGTAATAATTTTGTTTCATTATCAATAACGACAATAAGAATAACACTTATGACATACTATGGCCTCATAAAGTAGTTATCGCTAACATGTTAGCAAACAGTTGCAGCTATTTACACAACCAGCAGACAATAGCAGTCATTTGTAGTTGTGTTTCTGGCCACCTATCAAAGGAAAGTCCAATATTCACATTCAACATTCAGCACTGTTTTCATCTTCAGTCATTCATTGCAGTCCAATACAACAGCTCTGCTATAAAATCTATAAACCACTGATAGTGTTAAATTTCTCATGACATTGTCGGAATAATGTACATTAATTTGTTTATATGTTTCTTACTGATATCATAGTTAGTAGTGGTGTTGTACTAGACTAGGCAGTCCAGTATAACACCACCAGTAACTATGACCTCAATGCTAAAACATGATTGAACGAGCACCTCTATGACAATGTCAAAAACACTGCACATTGTATGCATTATAAAAGTGAAGTTAAAAATCAAAGTAAGTCAGCTTTGACTTGTTTTCTCTGTTGCTGTGGTATACAGTGGTATGTATTCATAGGATTCTGTGAGACACTAAAAACAGATGTATGCATCTTTTATGAACCCCGTCCATTAGGCAGTCTCTCACTAATTTCAAAGACTGGAGTAAAAAATCCAGTCTTTGAGTGTCTTCTCTTCGAGTCTTTTAGTATCTCTTCGACTGGAGCCGCACAGTGCTTCCATGGACAGGAAGCACCGCTCAGTTTTAATATGTGAATTTGAACAAGTCGCTGCTTAAACAGCATCGATTGTGATTTTGCATGTACTTGTTTTAGTAACACATTATGAAGTTTGTTTTAAGTTTTCTTTCATTGCAAGAACACTTGTGTTTTGCTCTACTGTATCAGGTATAATAGCAGTCTATTTTTTACTGTTATACCAGGTGTTGGCATTGGCATTGTGGACCTGGGTTATGAGCGTCGCCTGGCCAACCAGCTGGGAGCTCACCGCGTTCCCTCCATCATCGGACTGGTGAATGGCAGGGTGACCTTCTTCAATCAGGCTGTGGTACGGGAGCACCTGCGACAGTTCATTGAAGACCTGCTGCCCCAGAAACTGGTGGAAAAGGTAAATGCAACTAACAATAATACACTACATGTGTGCTATTGTCAAATAACTTTAAGTAAAATATAGACAAATATATATATATATATATATATATATATATATATATATTTTCTTTACAAAAAGTTTTTGAACTAATTGCCATTGTTTCTCCAGATCACAGATGACAACTACCTGGGTTTTCTGGATAGCTGGCATGCAGAAAATAAGCCCAGCGTTCTCTTGTTTGACCAGGTCCCTGTTGTTCCCCTGCTCTATAAAGTAAGCAATGTGTACTGTATACACACACACACACACACACACACACACACACACACAAGCACACACAAGTGCTACTAAATGTTATAGTGGAAAATAGAGAGAGCTACTCCAGCACTACAAGCCAGTTAGTATTCTGAAATCTGGTGCACTTTCCACCAATTACACCAATAGGGAGCAGATAGATTAAACCCCAACAGCAACCACAGATGCATCTGTGTGTGCAGCTGTTTCTGCTCGAAATAATGTTTTAGGTTACTAATGTAATGCATTAATATTTCCTCCTTTGTTACATAAAATTGTCTTATTTAACCTACCAAATGCAGTCAAATGCACTGGCAACATTGTTTGAACTTAATACCAAGGGAACAGATGGGAACACAGTTTCAACCAATCAGATTTCTTAGATATAACTGTCTAATGACTTTATATAAAAGCAGCCATCAGTCAGCCTTGAACTCTTCTGTTTTTTGGTTTTTTTTTACCCCTTCTTCTCTTACTGAGTTTACTGTGTTTATTTTTGAGGATCTCATCTTCCCGCTCCCTCTCTCCAGTTAACAGCGTTTGCCTTCAGAGACTATGTGCGCTTCGGCTACGTGGACCAGGGTGACACACACAACACTCGGCTACTGAGGCAGTTTAACATAAACACATACGCCCCAACCATGCTGCTGTTTAAGGAGGATACAGAGAAGCCTGTTGACATCATCCAGGTACATCCTGAACCATCACTTCCCTAGTTTAATAGTAATAAAGCATCCTCTCCTGCTATATCAGAACATACTGGCTAGTTTTAAACTAGCTGTTTTGTAACCTAAAACATGAAGTCTAAATCATTTGTAATAATTAATTGTTAAATGAATGAATCTGCTTGTTTTTCTAGTTTCGATTTTTGTCATTTTGCAAAATTTCTCACCCACTCTTTCAGGCCAGAGGGATGAAGCGACAGATCATGGATGAGTTTGTCTCCAACAACAAGTTCCTGCAGGTGCCACGACTGGTCAACCAGCAGCTTTTTGATGAGCTGTGTCCTGTCAAGCAGTTCCACAGACGGAGGAAGTAAGACATTTTCTGAGCAATGGTCCTGCTGCAGCACTTAATATCACTCACTTGAATTTACCTCTTGTTCAAAGGAGGCATCTTCCTTGAAGAAAGAAAAGAAATGACTAAGCTTAGCCAAGGCTAAATTTGACTCATCATTTGATAAGTGTACGAAAATGAAATTCAAGCAGCAAAGTTGGACAGGTGGTTGACACTGTGAACTGAAAGGTTGTGCATTTATGCCACTGTAGCAGGTGACTAGACTGTAAATGGTTTTCAGGTACTGTGTGCTGCTGATAACAGGGGAGGACCAAGCTTTTCTCCCAGGCAATAAGGCCTTCCTGGACTTCGCAACAGCTAACAGAAAAGAGGTGCTGCGGTTTGCGTACGTCTACCAGCGTCAGCAGCAGCCTCTCTGTCAGGCACTGCTCCATAATCAGGCTGCACACTCACCTCAGGTCAGTGTCAGAACCACATGCATAGTCCCCACACATGCATCAATACACTGACTAAATAACCTGCTCCTACAACCGAATGTATGATACAAATGAAGCCTTCTGATTTCAATCGAACATCGAGGACAATGTGCCTTTTGTAACCAGAAAGTCCAGATTGTATCCAGAATGTACCGAATTTGATATGTGTCAGATTACCGATATGTGCATCCTGAGACTCTGCATAGCCTCACTTTACAGTAAAAGTGCTTTATAACACCGCTTACAGGTGGTGATTCTTGAGAGGCGGAGCCAGGCTGGCAAGGCCCTATACCGCTCTGTGAGCGGTGGCTGGAACGGCAGTGAAGAAGATAAGTACCGCCTGCACGAACAGCTAGAGCTCCTTCAGAAAGACCCCACCTATCTGAGCTCAGACGCCACCCTGCCAGAACTCAACAACGAGATGGCCCCGGTAAGACACAGCAGACACACACTCGCCTTGAGGCCACTGCGCTGGGGGCCGCACTGACTGATGGGAAATTTTCACTGGAACAATTTTTGGATTAATGTCATTGTTTTCTATTCTATCAGATGTTCATTATTCAGTGGATGAATGCTGCCTATGATTACATTCTTCAAATATATGATGACCTTCTCTACTCAAACTGGTAAGACAACACTCACCCAGAATGTCCAACTGTGCAACAAAGAGAAAGGCAGGAAATACGTGAGAAGCTGAATCATGCTGCGGCATCAAGATGTTGCCAAAATTACCTGATGGGGGATGAGTGTCACATCTTAGCCACGATGCACCCTTTCAGAAATGTAACCACACATAGCGGTTACATGGAAACTGTTATTGTTTGATATGGTCTGGCGTGTATTTTCTCCTACATGTTTCAATAAGAACACTTTTCTGTCATCAAGGCGAGAGATGATGCCCATCCTGTCACTGATCTTCTCAGCTCTCTTCATTCTTTTTGGCACCGTTATCATTCAGGCCTTCAGGTGAGAGAGACACAACCCTGTTTCAGTCTGAGATATTTTAATCATATACTCAACCATCAGTGACTTGAAGTGACTTAAATTCAAAATGTTATTCTTAATAATACTGACTAGATCTACAATAGAAATGTGTTTTAGCATTTGTTTATCTCATTTGTCTTCTAATTCTACACAATTATTCCTGGTTTTGAGTCTAGTCGAGTCAAATACAGGCTCTGCCCCAAAGGAGTCAGAGCTATTGTTTGTCCACACTGGATGATTTCCCTTCTGTGGTGTATTTCCAGTGAGCCAGGTGAGAGTAAACCCCAGAAACCAAAGCCAAAGGAGCAACCGCAATCTGAGGACGACGCTTCAAGTAGAGCTAGTACCTCAAGGTAATGGAGTGAAATGAAGTGAATACACAATATGAGGCACAACAGCAGAAAACTGGAAAGTCACCAAAAAGCAGTGTATTTTAATTATTACACAGGCTGCTTGAATGATGATTGTTGACAACTTATTTTGCAGTTGAATGGCTGTTTATCCAACCGACAGGACCATGGGGGGGTTTGTGGGTTTGTTCTAACTCAAGCATGTCCTTGAGTTATCAAAGCACCCCTGTAGCCCCACAAGAAATCTTCTCATTAATAATTAAACTAAACTAACTCTGTAGTATAGTGAATTCATATTTTCACAGACCTATACTGCCCAAACTCCCATAAATAGAAAGTAAAGATGTGTGTCAGGGGTTTGCCAGAAAACTGTCCCTGTTTATCTTCAACTGATTAATGCGTAGTGTTTTGCTGTGACAGATTTAGAGTTTTATTTTACTTTTGCTCTATCCGCTATACAATATTTTAAACTCAAGTCTGAGCCAACCTCCAAATAAAATGACTGTCACCTTAAAACATCACTGTTTGTGGACATGTAGCTGGGATTTTTCCACGATCAATAGAGGGACTGAACTTTATCTGCTGGAGATAAAAACCCATATTGTCCTGATAACAACTGTATGTGTGTACGTTTAAATTAATTTAACTGTTTGTTGTCAGCACATTGTCTTTATGTTACCAGTAATTCTGTCTAAATACAATACTCACATGTCACATGTTCATTGAGAGAGCTATCGGTAGCTGTAAAACCCATTTTTCCTTCCCTCCCTCTGTCTTTCTCATTGGACCATGCAGCCGTCCTCCTAAGAAGGACTTTGTTGAAGTGACAGAGCTGACAGACATCACGTACACCAGCAACCTGGTCAAGCTGAGGCCGGGCCACATCAATGTTGTCTTGGTGCTCACCAACGCTTCCAAGACTGCCTTGCTCAGGAAATTTGCCAAGGAGGTTTTTTCTTTCTCTGGGTAGGTCTCAGCATGATCTTTTTTTTTTGTCTACATTAGTATTCGTTTGTATTAGTTTATTCGCACATATCAAAAAATACATCCTAAAATGGCCTTGCGAGTTCTGACCATAGATGACCACATTTTTGCAAAACTCTAACAAACTTTGTCAAATCTCAAAGTTTTATGTCTAGTGGCTTCTGATATTTTAGTAACTTGCTTTTAAAATAAAAAATGATAAATGACGATATCATGGAACAATACAGTACAGCACAATACTGTAAAAGACAATAATGTACTATAATATGTATCTTGTCCACTAAGATGCCCTGATTGCGTACTTTTCTTTGACCAATGCTTGGTCCACTTATTAACCCCAATCCCTTCTGCCTGTACAGGACTCAGACTCTCCACTTCTCCTTCCTCAACGCTGATAAGCACCGCCATTGGATGGCATCGCTCCTTCGGTCAACCTCTGATGCTATGCAGAGCGAGGGTTACTCAGACGAGGACGAGGAGTCTTTAGACTACAGTGGCCATGTCCTGGCCCTCAATGGCCACAAAAAATACTTTTGCCTCTTCAGACCCGTCTTCACAGGGGACGATCCCAATGACTCTTCATCCGAGACCTCATTCTCCTCTGACAGCAGGAGAAAGTCCCGTTCCAGGTCCAGGTCCAGCTCCCACTCCCGATCCAGGTCCCATTCCAGGGAGGATGGGGCCGTACCCAGACGAGGCTCCAGTAGGGCCACCAGCATAGAAGTCCACCACAAGCTTGACAGGCTGGGACTGTGGATGGAGAGGCTAATGGAGGGCACCCTACCCAGATTACGGGTCCCTGCATGGCCCTTTCTCAATGAAAGCACTAACAACCCCTCCACAGAAAGCTGAGGTCAAAGTAAGAAAGGTACAAATGGTAGTGAACACAATTTGTGGTCTTGCCTCCTGATTAAGTCCTTTAGGAATGCAATTTTGCAGTTTTCAAATTATTATTTAAGATCCATGTCACACATGTAGGTTGCCACACTAAACTGTTGCAGCCTGTTTACAGAACGTCTTATTTTATCTGTTAGATGGCGTTGAGCAGGTGGAAGTTGATGGCTTAGAGTAGTGTATTACCACAAACCTTTTAAAATGTGCATAATGAGGCAAAGGCTAAGCTATCACTTCATGTCTCCTGTACAGAGACAGAAGAAGGAAAGGAGAGAAGCTATGGGAAAAAAAACAGATGGAGTATCTCCTGATATGCTCTTAAATACATACAGTTATTCTTCACACACACACACACACACACACACACACACACACACACATTAGTTAGCCACAGCGACATGCAAAGCAGAGCTATGATTGCATGCAGAACTGCTTTATTTGCTCTCATGTGGCTCTAATAGCTAGCTGTGTGTGTGTGTGTGTGTGTGTGTGTGTGTGTGTGTGTGTGTGTGTGTGTGTGTGTGTGTGTGTGTGTGTGTGTGTGTGTGTGTGTGTGTGTGTGTGTGTGTGTGTGTGTGTGTGTGTGTGTGTGTGTGTGTGTGTGTGTGTGTGTGTCAGTTACAGATTAACTCCAGTTCTTTGTGTTAGCTTCCTCTTCTTTTAACTCTTGTCTCTGTACATTGATAAGGTGAAGTCATACAGCAAGAGATAAGCGTATTTTCTTTTTTTGCTCCTTTGAACCACCTTTAATATTTGCTCTGCACCTGAACACATCTTTCTACAATTAACAGCCCTCTGTCATGAGTTTGACCTTTGGCAGCATGTCCAGCAGATGGAGAATTCTCTCCACATCGGCTTTGTTTGGAAGCAGGTTAATACAAATAAAGGCTGGGAAACTGAGCCTGATGCACTGAATTTATAGATAAATTATGTGTTTGTTTTTTTAACTTATAGGAGCCTTCAGTTGAACTTGATCATTGACCTTGGTTTGCTATTAGAGAGCTGACGCAGCCTTTTTGAATCTAGGCATAAAGAGAATTTCACAGAATTGTAAGCAGCAAAAATCAACTTATTCACATAAAACCACATTTTACTCGGCTTTTAAAGAAAGATTGCTGATGTGTTTTTTCTGCTCAGATCAAGTTGCCATGCTGTTTAGTTACGGGATTTAACTAGAGCCCGACCGATGTTATCGGCCGCAATTGGCCTACTGCAGTCATATCGGTATCATATTGGTATGGGCGTATGTTATCCGATATGTGCCAATATGAAAACATTTATATATTTTTTTTGTTACATAATCCAGAAACAGATAATATATTGGTGTCACTGCACAGTTTAACCAGCAGAGTGTGCTGTGATTTACAGTACTGTAGCAAGCAGCACCATAAGTGAGAAGAAGCAGCTCCCCGTAGTGATTATGTTAAATTATTTAACATTTGCAATAAAGTTATTTGTTTAAGAAAACTGATAACCTTTGCATAGTCATATTCACAATCCTCATAGAAAAGCTCTATTTTCATTCCAACAGAAAAATTCACTGTTACTATCAGTAATCGGTGAATTGTTCCCCTCTAAAATTGGTAACGGACTTAAAAATCCCATATCGGTCGAGCTCTAGATTCAACATGCTACCTGCCAAGTTTGAATTCTGTTTAAGTTTAATGTCATTCTAGGTAAGTTGTACCCAAAATGTCGAAATCTGCCTTTTTTGTCTTTACAGTTGCTGTTTATTTGGGGCTAATTTTGTTAAAGTTCTTGTCAGTTGTCTGAATCAGGGAGAAACGATAAATCCTACTATATTATTGCCCTTTTTGAGCCTGTGCCCTTAAACATGTTAATGCATGGGATAAGTAGATCTAAAATGACTAATACATGTTGAATTTGCACTGGCAATTCAAAGGTTTAATCTCCTGTCTCCTCCTTTTACGCTGTAATGAAATAATTTGCTGCTCAACAAGAAATAATTGCAGTACACTGTAACTTGTAATCTTTTTTTCTTGTATGTCATTTGAACTTCATATTCAACTGTGAGAGATGAAGTGTAACTTATTAAAAGAAACTTCTTTTTAAAGCAGTTTATTTATTAAAATGTGCAGATAACTTTGACCTGCTTTGGTATTTATGTAATTTACGCGTTTTTTAAACTATGAAATATTTGCATATACAAAAATTAAATATGTTAATTCAGGGAAATTGATCACTAATTAAGGCACAATGAATAGTCCAGCTAACAATAAGCTTGATGTTAATAATAGAATAAAATAAAATTAACAAAATTACACTGTACTTGGAGTAGATTTAAATACCTGACATTGTTTACAATCAGTAGATGATACAAGAACAAATATTTACCATAAATAGAACTACTGCTAAATATGAATACACATTTTCAGCAGCATTATACACAGTACATGTCATATGGTCCAAGGAACCAACACTTTGTGTGTGTGTTTGTACTACAGTACAGGCTCAGTACTCATTAGGAATGTCAAACACTTTCTTCATGGATAGGTCTTCAGGGCCGAAGGAGGCTGGCAGCAGCTCGCTCACAGTCATCTGCAGGTATGAGCCATCAGGCTTTGACAGGTACACATCCCAATTTGGCCCAAACTGTAAAGGGAAATGACCAAAAAAAGAGACATTAAATCCTCTTTCATGTTTCTCTCAATAAATTATCAAAGACTGGAAACTAAAAGCTTCTTGAAAACCTTAAAACAGTAGAGCAGCAGAGATTATTTTACCTCTCTCATGAACTGCCTGCAGCCACCACACGGGGAGATGAACTGGTCATCCAGGTCACTGCAACAAATGAGGAAAGATTTATTTGGTAAACAAAACAAAAGCATGGTATTCTCAACTAGACAATTATTAAGTTTATATCTGGGGAAAATGTATTAATGTTGAACACAAAGTTCTTCATACTGTACGTTTCCTACGAACAACTATTTGCTCTACTATAAATGTTTTAATTTCTATTACCGTTGCTCTGTTCTATACAGTTTACTCACAAGGCTAATATATATATATAGGCATCATAATCATTACAAGCCATTAAAAAAGCCTCTTCACATTTAGGTGCAGCATGTTGAATGCTGCTAAACAGACACTTGTCTGCCTGTTTTTTTTCATGCCTTTCAGTGCCTCACCAGTTTGTGAACTTTTGACCAACTGTTACATAGGGCAGGTTTGAGAAGTAATAAGGGCGTTTGGTAAGGTTTAGTGACGTGCAAAGAGTATGTGCAGGAAACTTAGCACAAGTAAAGTGACTCATGGTTTAGTAAGACAGTAATGATGACTCTGGGCTTGTGCAAGGTCAGGCTGGATGCTTTCGTTTCATAGGAAACATTAAACATTATATACACATAGGGGACATTACCTGGCAATTGCAATAGCTTTGAAACTTCTGTGGCCTTCTGACACTGCCCTTGAGATTGCATTCCTTTCGGCACACACACCCAAGTTGTAACACGCATTCTCCACGTTGCAACCTGCCGGGCACACAAGTATTGGTCATCAGCAAAAGAGGCCTTTTCACCATCAAAGGGTCTGTCTGTTCACTTCTTCTGTCCTGTCCTGGTCAAATAGTTACTCAATGGGTCTTTGCACTCACAGCTGTTTGCCAGACATTTGCCCCCCACACATTTCTGTTGAGGGACACGTGACTCGCTAAGCTTTGTACAGTCCAGCAACATGAACAGGAGAGTTGTGTTTTTGCCCTACTGTTGACAATGATTTGACATCCCTGTCAGTGTGTACAGTGCGGTTGACCCAAGTGATGCAAGCAATGGCAAAAGGTCATCATAGCACATGGAAAAGCTAAGTCTTGTTGGTCCTGAGAAACGTGCTTTTATTGTTCAACCACTTGGAATGATTAACATCCTGGTGAGGATTTAATAATGGGCTGCTGTAGGCAGATGTGTTAAAATTAAACCTTTCCTCATTGAGTCCTGTAATTTGAACTGTCAGGTAATTATTAACATGTTGTAGCTAACTAAACTCAGATCAAGTAATGCTTAATTTTCTTGTGCTTTAAATAACATTCTGTTACTTCATCCATACGTTCAATTATCTCAAACAACAACAAAGCAGCAAGAACGGACTCAAACACAAGTTGCATAATGCTGTGGCTCTGAGTTCTTCCCTGTTTGCAATGTGCTGAAGCTTTACAATACTTTCTGGCAAAGAACTTGATTGATTAGTTTTAGGAAAACACTTGATAAGAAAAAAACAAATATATGCAGAATTATTGATAAAAAAGCACATGTTCAATAAACTCCTGTTCATCTTAAACCTACATTTTTACCCTCATGTCAAATATTTACCCCAATCAAACAATCCAGAGGCAAAGTTTCCTGTGTACCTTACCTGTAAACACGCAGTTATCTGGGGTCAGGAGAGCAGCCCCCACCCTGAATTTGCTGTAAGGACAGTAGGCTTGCGTCTTTGCCTCCTGAGACTGTTGGATCAGCTTCTTGACCATGTCCTGGGACAAGTGTCCTGAGCTGTGGTCCTTAATATTCATCACCTCCCTGCTGAACTTGACTTGGTCCATACTTGCTCTTGGGGTTTGTGAGTGTTTTTGAGTCAGTGAATGAGTCTGTTGTAGTTCAGCTTTAAATGTGAATGGGACACAGTGAAGGGGGAGAGGGAGCAGTCACAGCCAATCACTCGCTAGGATGTCAACACCCTGTCATGACGCAGTAGGAGGCGGTTTTGTTGTTTTCATTATTCATTCGGTGCAGACATGATATTAAAGGGAAGTTCAGGCAGGTTGCTGCTACTCACGTGTTTGAATATACTAGTCAGTGGAAAACTATTCTCCTGATTAATTTTGTGCCTTATCTATTGTGTGTGATAGATGATCAATAACAGAGGAGACAATTGTGAAAATATGCATCTTTATTGCTTGGTCCAGCTTCTCTTTAAGATCTGAGTCAGTGGAGAAAAGAGGCTCCAAAGACCAAAATGATCCCTGAAACGGATGTGTGCCATGTTTTTTTATGGAAAACACTAAAAACTATATAGATTAACTATACAATGCAAAGTGCATTTAGTTGCATACATAATGTATGTCAGACTTGGTTTATTTTTTTATAATAACCTGAGTCTTCTCTCTCGGTCACTAAGTGGATATGATAGTCACTTCACTGTGTACCTGTGTGTGCTATAATGAGTTCACACTCATGGGGTGAATGTTACAGATACATTTTTCTTAGTAAATAAAAAATCATGTTTATATAAAAGCATTGTATAAAAGACAACAAAAAAATATCCATAAGGTCTTTGGGTCCATTCAAATCTTCACCACAGTGGAGCTTGTTATTAGGAGTCTCATTAGCTGTTCTGGGTGACCCAGTTGATCCATCCAAGGTAGTTTCTGACTTTGGTGTAGACACCAGGGTAGTACGCATAGGCGCAGCCGATGCCCCAAGATACAATGCCTTCAAATTTACCGTTACAAATGAGAGGTCCTCCTGAGTCACCCTGAGGATGGAAAAGAAAACAGTTCAGAGTTGTTGTTCTGGTAGTGTGACACATTTAATATAAGATAAAATAACAACTTATCATAACTGAAAATGTGTTCTTGTTTTCTTGCAAAATGATGACGTAATCAGAATCAGAATCAGAAATACTTTAATAATCCCAGGGGGATATTGCTTTCGTTACGAACTCCAGATAAACATACAATATATATTAAGAACATACATATAAATATATATATATATATATATAAAAGATAAAATGTACAGGTTAATAATGTGCAAAAAGTGCAAAAATGATTGTCCGTGTTTGAGTCAGATTACATAGAAGGGGTGTCTGATTCTTAAAAGCTTTTAAAGCTCCACTAATCAGTATTTTTATATTTACTCTAAAGACTATATATGATGGGAAAGGGTTTGCTCTGTAGTGAAACAACATGAGATAATTATCACCCAACCCATAACTTTTAACTCTGCTTTTCTGTCAATCAATTTGAGAGTAACGACAAGTTTAAATCCTGTGTTTTATATGACAGTGGTGAGGTTGGTGGGATTTGACTGTTGGTTCCTATGAGAGTCAAAAGAAGTCTCAACCTCTCAAACACACACACACACACACACACACACACACACACACACATACACACACACACAAACACACAAACATACTAACATACTAACACAGACTTTGTGCCTCACCTGACAAGAGTCTTTCCCACCGAAGAGAGAGCCAGCACAGACCATGTTCTCTGTGATCCTGAAGTAGTAGTAGTACCAGCAGTTGGAAAAGATGTCCACATCCACAGACCTCAGTACGGGTGACAGGCTGTAGCTGTTGAGCCAGGTCACACCCCAGCCGCTGACTGTGCACCGGGTGAGGCCGGCCAGGGGGGGTGAGTTTAGGTTTGGCAAAGTGGCTGGCTCGACCATGGAGTTGATGACGGCTGGACGGTCCAACTGAACCACAAAGAGCATACGCTTCAGTCAGTGAGTCAACATTAAAAACTCATACTGAAGGTGCCATTGTACATTTTCTTGTCACATTAAATATGGAGTTTCTAAAATGTGAATAAAGAAGGTATTTGCTCTTTTAAATTACCTATTTTGCTGTCTGCACTATTGATTGATGAGTCATGAAAATGACATTAAAAACACTGTATAAAACATAATAGAAGGAATAAAGCGAGAACTGATGGAAACAGATAATTCAATAAAGGGGCTGAATAGCTGTCTCCAACAGTTCAATAGGTAAGATAATTTGTAGTGTGTTTCAGGGCAAAATTGTTGATAGAGCTCCATTCCCCAATATGCGCAATAAAAAGCAATGAGTCAGTATCCTCGCTGACTGGAACTGAAGTCACTGAGAAGAAAATTCCCACGTGTGTCATTATAGGCAAACCACTACAAAGGCATCTGATTACTTTGATACTTTAAGTACATTTTGCTGATAGTAGATAGTAGAGACTATTTTCATGCAGTTCTATTGGTTCCTTTACCTAAGTAAAGGATCTAAATGCTTCTTGAACAACACACTGTCAGAGACTAAAAACTTATAACAGACAGCCTGTGTTTCAACTCTGGGTTGTGGAGTTTGAAATACATGGGCAGGGGAGTTCAGCCTCTGCTGTTTTTATTTGACCATTGTTTTTAAGTTGAATTTAATTGTGCCAGTTAGTAAGCATGGACAAAAGGCTTACATGATTCCTAAAAAAATTTAATTGTATGAACTGAATCTGTGTGTGCCATAATATGATACACCTGTGTGAAGAGTCTCTTGAGAAGCAGCACAAATGTGGAACATGACATACTAAACACTAAGAATTGTGTTGCAGGTCACTGACTTATCAGTGTCAGTCAGTGATCTAATCAGTGTCTTAAATTGGTTTCAATTTACTGGAAATCTGTATCAAAACATAACCCTGTGACATATTCCAGAGTCATCCCTTACCTTAAGCAGCATGATATCATTGTCAAATGTCCAGTATTGGTACTGGTAGTGCCTGACAATTAAGGAGACATTGAACGTCTGCTCGAAGCCCTCCACCTTGAGAATGCTGTGCTCACTCAGGACCACTTGGATCATGTGACTCCTAAAAGAGCAAAGGAGAAAGGAGAGCTCATCAACAATAGCTGATGACACAGTTATTCCAGATCATTCTAATATGTTTTCTTCTATACAGAGATTTGAGCAGCATGTGCCTCCATGGACATTCAGTAAATGTGGCCCTCACTGTGTAAAACTGCAGTAACTTACGGTCTCCAGCAGTGGGCAGCAGACACCACCCACTGTGGGTGGATGAGGGTGCCTCCACAGAAGTGGTATTCCATAAACCGGAGGGAGGCTTGATACTTGATTGAGTAGGGTTGTACCTCCTCACCCCCGATGATTCTGTTCCCATACACACCTAAGAGCCAAAGAGGAGATTAGACATTAGTGACTGACTTTCTGAAATAAATTTTACTCTTTTCCATGACATAAAATAATGTTGTTACTTTTAGTTATATGAAGTCAGTCCTGTGTGACTGAATTTTTCTCATTGTTGCTCACCTTTTAAGTTTACAACAAGCAGCAGGAGCAGTGAGAGGTGACAGGACGGAGCCAGGTTCATCTTCATCTTCCAGAAAAGAAAGAAAAAATAGAGAGGGTCAGTATCACAGGCTATAAACTGGTGAAAAGTGGAAGGAAAGACTTGGATATCATTGGCTCATGGTACATTTTTTTATTCTATTTAATTCTACTTGTGTACTTTAAAGATATGCTATATTATAGACCACAATAACCAAAAGTAGTACATGTAAGATCATTTACTAGCATAAATGTATTCACTCCTTCAAGGTTACTGCACAGCAAATGTCTAGAAGCAATTCTTAAATGTATAACTTTTGGTTATAGTGCTTGATAATACAGGATTGATAAAGGCACAGCTATCTAGGTCGTTCACTCCAGAAAACGTCTCAGTGTTTGGTGTGCATTAAGACATGAACTTCTCCAACTACAATTTTCTTTGTTTAGTGGTTTACATTTAATAATTATCTTCACAGTTGCTCTGAAATAAACAAAAGTAATTTTTTTAAAACTAGTTGCATGTTTCAATTGATTCATTTAAATTCCCCAAATCACTGATTAAAGTCCACTTGGTACTCTGCCCTCAATCCACAGTCCCACAACTAACTGACATCAATACATAATCAAACTATAATCCATTCGGTACAAAGCTGCCTCACCTTATTAAGAGTCAAGTAAGAAAACAGTCCAAGTCCAGCATCCACATAACACTGGCACACACACTCTCACACACACACTGCTCTCACACCAGGACATACAGTAAAGCTTGAAAACTCTCAGGCCTCTTTTATACTGTAACCATGCCCATTGTTCACTGCCATTGTGTCATTGTCCGCCATATATCTAAGTGTCTCTCACACACAGAAAGCAGAGTGTGACCTAGTCCGTGACAAAAAAACAGCAACCTTCTCTTTGATTACACCTCTCTTTCTAAGGCCTTTGTTCTCACAGATTCAGCCTATTGTCAGTGGTCGAGACAAAGTGAAGCTCTACGGAGATGAAACCCAACAAGCCAGAGAAATGATAGAACATAGTCTCCAGACATTTTGTTGGTGTATCCAATGATGTTACAGAGGGCAGGGGATCAACTTGAGACGTACTAGAATTTATTCTTCATGTGAACAAGTAAGAACTTTTTCTCAGAAAAACTTGAACTGAGAGTTTTACTGAGAATTAGAATCTTTATAGTTCACTTTTCCTTCCCTATAGGGTCAACATAAAACAATCAAAGCAAATAGTGCTATTCCTCCCTTTTCCCAGCCTTTTCCATCCCAGGCACTCTCATTTAGGCTCCCAGCAGTTTTTTTCCTTCCCACACATCAGGGTGTTTGGTTTGTAACTCATAACCTCCATACAGTCTACACTCCCAGGTGTCATTCAAACTGTTAGGGTGAAAGGAGATAGTGTGCTTCGCAGGCCCTCAGGTGTAAAGCTGAGATGATAAACAGGATGCCTTTGTGTGTGTGAGAGACAGAACAAGATATATGGTGAGGCGGATGACTTGCACATAACTGCATGTGCAGTATAGATGTACGTGTGTGGTGAGTCTGAGAGTAGCATGTGTCACAGAAATGTAGTCAGCACACAGAGACTTGTTTGGCCCCATCCAGACTGAATATGTCTCCAATCTCCTATTCACATTGTGTTTAGAGTGTTCATTGACCACACTAAATTATAAATCATAAAATTATAAAAAAATATTGTGAAAGTTTTAGCTCAACCATTTATAAATGAGTAAAATAGAATAGAATAAACTTTATTGTCCCCGAGGGGAAATTTGTCTTGCGCACAGTGTTACAATCTGTTGCTTCACTGAAACAAACAAATCATCAACAACAAACACACATCAGAAACCCATCACAAAATCAACATGAAGCTATAGTTTGAGCAATTAATTAAGAGTCAGTTGACCCAAAATACAAGAACCAGTTGCCATTCAAATGTATCTGCCTTTACTCCAATAAAGGAATGAGCAATATTTTATTTGATATTATATTAAATATATTATGAAAAAGTAACGTTTTTGGATATTCGGTTGAGAGACCAGCAAATTAAATACCTGACAAATCAAGGTGCTTCATGTTAAACTTAATATATAACTATAAAAATCCAGTACTGCCACAAACCAGTGGATTTTAAATGTCTAACATTTCCCACAATAGCTGAATAAATTCTGAGATATTCACTTTCTTGCCGAGAATTAGAGAAGATTGCTACTAGGTCTATTATACATGTGTCCATTGCAAAAGGTAAGCTTAGAAAATGGTTTCTTTAGCTTAGCATAACGACTAGAAACGGGGATGCTACCCTGGTTCTATTTTAAGGTTTAAATAATCTGCCAAATGTCACCTTTATACCTTTTTATCTTTTTTCTGTCCAAACTAAAGTAATGTAAAAGTGACTCCTTGTGGCTTTCCCTGTGCTTTAATTATATCCAGACTGGGAGCCATGACTTCCTGGAGTCACTGGCTAACAGACAGATATGAGACTGGAAGGCTTTCGATATTCCCATCTAACTCTCATCAAAAAGGCTTATTTCCCAAAATACAAAACCTTCTTTAAGAATTCTTCTAAAAAAAAGTAGTAAAAAAACAGTAGTAAAGTTTGTAAGTAAAGTTTATTTAATAGCATCTGATCTAGATCAGATGTCACAAAGTGCTTCACAACAAATATAATAAAAAAACACATGAAACAGAGACACAATAAAAGTTAAAATAAAATAAAATATAAGTAAATAAAACTACACATACATACATATATTCACCTCCATTGTGTTAGGGTGGTGGCATAAATATCCATGGCAAATAATGCAATATCCATATGCATGGTCTCCAGAGGTAGGTGAAGAAATATGTTGGTTGAAGAGACCCTTTAAAAATGGGGTAACTTCGGGTTAAATATTTTTAATATTTCATAAATAAGTCATGTTGGCTTTCTCAGTTTTTATGAAAAAAAGAAGAAAAAAGACCTTATATGTTTGAAGGTGAGAGTCTGTGAAGTTGGGTGTGTTGGTCCAGGAAACACCTGACAGTGGGAGGCCACACAAAGCCGTTCTACTGGGTGAAGCATCAATTATTCAGCTCGCTCTAAATGTGGGACAAGAGGAGGTCAGGCGAGATTCTCCTCCCATGCTGTGGATGATGCTGACTTGCCAGAAGGCTTGTGGTGATGATGATGATGATGATGATGATGACGATGATGATGATGATGATGATGATGATGATGATCAGGCTGATGATAATGAGCTATTGTCATTGCAGACACAGATTCAGTCATGACTGATGATTCCTACTCATACAGAGGAACAGTTGTGTGTCTCGGCTGTGTAGAATACCTTTGTGTTGTCTTGACTCAGACGTGAATCTCCTCACAGCTACAAAACAAAGCCATGCACACACACACACACACACACACACACACACACACACACACACACACACACACACACACACACACACACACACACACAGGCACTAGGCTGGTGAAACATTTCAGCACGGATAAGCCTGGATGATGACACAGACGGAGCGTGCTGATACAGTATAGATGAACCTGCTAGGCACAGTACCTTGTGTTGCCATGGCAACAATGTAAGGCCTTTCGACAAGTCAGGAGGGTCAGGAGAAAGAGTTGTGATAGTGCTGGGATGGCAGGGGGGTGCTGAGCAGTTTTTGAAGGTGAACTTTGCTGCTCTCTTTCATTTTCAATCAATGCTACAGTGTTGGACCTTGGTGCTGCATGTCATGGTGGAGGATGAAATTAAAAACTTTTTTTTTTTCCCAGAGGACACTGGAGGATAAAGGTTCGTGTGACTGACTCCTTCTGTTTCCAAAGAGGAGTTCATGTCCAGGTTGGCCCAGCAGACAGGAGCAAAGGACACTGGCGGTTTGGCTGCAGCGGTTCAGCTGCTGGTATGGTGTAGGATAACGGCCTGAAACCTCCACAGCGATGATGGGCCTGCTCATGTGTTTAGGTTGTGTGTTACTGGACTTCATGATGGTCCACAGTGAGTACATGGTGTTTTTTTTATTGTGATGATTTGTTCAGGTAATGGTTTCAGCTTTTAGTTTAATAAATGTAAAATAAGTGGCCAGTTTGGGACCTTTTTTAAAGAATACTTTGACATTTAGAAACAGGAAAATAGAATCGTTTGTTTTCTTGCTGAGAGTTACATGAGAAGATCAATACTCTTTTGTCTGTTTGGTAAATATGAAGCAAAGGGTTAGTTTGGCTTAGCACAAAGACTAGAAACATAGGTAAACAGTAACAAAATCCCTTTACCAGCACATTTTAAGATCCTTACTTAACTAGTTATGTCTTGTCTATTTAATCCATACAAGTGAAAAAAGAAAGACAATTCTGCATTTTACAAACAAATAAATATGATTTTGACAAGAAAACAAATAATTCAAAAAATGAAGAAACAACTCCTTTAAAATTGCTTCCTTCTGCCTTACAGCAGATTAGTTTGAGATTACTCCTCAACAGGTGCTCATCAAAAAAATCAGATGTATTTACACCAAAGGTTACAGTAGGGAACTGTAGATATTTCCAGGATGTAGTCTAACTGTAACCATCATGTCTTCTTCCTTTCTTATGACCTGAAGCCAATGTACAGTAGCTGAGTTGTTGTGTAAAACAGACAGGAAGAGCCCCCACTCTAATGTTTCAGAGCCCAGAGTGAGGTGGTGACACTAGAAGGTCAGGTTATATTGGATTACCTTCATTACGCAGTGGCCTCCCAGGTGACAGAAAACCACTAATTGTTAGGCCAGGTCAATGGCCTTGAAGGGGGATTAGGAGGGCCTCACTCTTTATGTTTCTCTTTTGTTCACTGAAGTCTCTCCATGTTTTGTAAGACAGGCTTTTTAAAGCATGACATCCATACCTGGGATGCTGTTACTATATATGCAGGATGTTTTGAGCATTTAGCAGTTTCGACGAAAGCATGAAGGAACCATTTAATTTTCTTGATATAAGCATTATGTCTGTGTTCCACGTTTCTACATAGGTAGGGGGGAGCGTGTTCTTAGTAAAGTGGTTTTAATGTTCACTATCCATCAGCTTTGTGACCTCTGAATTAAAACAACTTAAACTTTAACTTATCCTGTTGCCTTTGACTTATCTTTTCCAGATATCCTATGACCTGGATGATGAGGAGATGATAGCTCCTTTTCACACCTTATCCTGTAAATGTTTCTGTTTCCATACAGGCCATGTGCTCATGCAAGGCCGCATAGTGGGTGGTCACACCGCTGCACCAAACTCCATCAAATACATTGTGTCACTGCAGAGCACCAAGGGCCAGCACTTTTGCGGAGGATCATTGGTCCACAGGTACTGGGTGCTGACCGCAGCACACTGTAACATCGGGTAAGAATGTTCAAGCGTTGTCATCAATAAGCTGTTGATGCTTTTTGCTACAGTTGGGTGAAAATGTACAAAACCATATTGTCATGATTGGGAAGGTTACATGCTTCTGTTTTTATTACGTTTATCTATGATAGTGTTGTGGTTCTATGGATGGTCCAGCAGTTTGGTCCAGACTTTGCACGGACAATGAATCCTAATGACTTTGGTGACTTTGATATTTCCAAGCTGATAAGCACTTCTGATAAAGCCTGCTGGCATTTCAAGACGATGAACATAGTACATAATAATGCATTTTAACATTGTCAAGCTGACATTAGCATTTAGCTCAAAGCACTGTTCTATAAACCCAAAACGAGTTGGTTAAATGAGGGATCATCGAGCAAGAATCCAGGCTGCCTCCTGATAAGATTACTTTTCATAAATCAAAAATGTGACCTGACAGTTGTGTTTGAACTTTGTCCGAGGTAAAAGATTAAACTGTTTCTGAAACACTTGCACAGGCAATGACACTCTTCTGGCAGTCTTTCAGTGGACTCTGTAGAAGTCACTGTGTAGAAGCTAACTTGGCATGATTTTATATTGTGAGCAGATGGTCCCAACAGATGCCTAAAAGCAAACATCCATTCGGCTACGGGTAGGTAACGTCAAAGCAATGCCGCTTGATCATGATGCAAAGTAAACCTGTATACAGGCCACTGGGAAGTCAAACAGCACGCAGATGTGGTCGGGTCAGCTGACCTTGGTCCATCATCAGTGTGTGTATATATGTGTGTGTGTGTGTGTGTGTGTGTGTGTGTGTGTGTGTGTGTGTGTGTGTGTGTGTGTGTGTGTGTGTGTGTGTGAGTAAAGTGTGATCTTGTCTGAATCCAGGAAATTGGCTGTATTTCTGTTATACTGTCCCAGCCCTGCCTGCACACAGTAAGGCCATTGTTCCCTGGCAGACACACATTTCTGGCTTCATGGCAGCCCGTGTTCTCACTTGCTGTGACTTTGAATCCTGGTCATGATTTGTCATCCCTCACACCTTCAATTCAACTAAGATATTAAAAATGTTTTCTAAAATATAAAATCACAGGCTAATAAATGATGATCATGATGCCTCCAGTGCATGCTGGTAAAATAGGTGCAAACTTTTTCTCATCTTTCTCTTTGTAGAGATGGTCAATAATGGTCAAATCTCAAAGCCATGATTTATTTACTGCAATATTTGTTGATAAATGTCTTTTAGGGCAGAGCATATGATGATAGTGGCGGGCGACTACATTGTAAATACCTTTGAGGGCACTGAGCAGTACGCAAAACCCCACAGGGTGGTCACCCATCCCCTCTACAACAGGAGCACCAACAATGCTGACATCATGCTCATTAAGGTACAGCCCACACTGCGAAGAGATTTAGCAGCAATGGTTATGTTGAAAACAGCATTAAAAATGTGTTGATTAACGTGTGTTTTTACATTAATTTGGACACATTTTCTCATGGAGCAAATTTTTTGCTTTGTTCAATTATATCACTTATATTTGATGTCCTTAACTTTCAACCTAAGACATTAACTGTCTTCTGTCCTCTTATGACTAATTATAATGGTTTAGAACAGCATAAATACAAGTGAAACTACTGAGTCACTTATTAATTATACACATTATATACTCAGTGTGTGGAGAGTATCAAAAGGAATATTATTTCTTTATTATTTGTGCTTATGGTCAGAGGTGGGATGATAATCTGTGTAAGTCTATATCTCAGGGAAAAAGTGTCTATCACACCATTTATATAATCTAAATGACTCAATCACAATGACCAGCTGTGGCCATAAAAGGAAGCTGCTTTTATTCTTTATGACTCAGGAGGCAAAGCAGTGTATTAAAAATAAATGTTAAAAATATTATATGTTCTACAAAGAAATCTTTTGCAATCTTTGGGGGTTTTTCTCTCAATGAATAACTGTATCTTAACTTTGATTCCCTTTAAATTCCTAACTTTCCTCACTAGCTAGTTGCTATCTCTGTCTGCCAGTTGTTTGTTGCTGGGCAGATATTGTACAGTAGCTTTATTAGAGATTTTTCACTGATGGGCTGTAAAATTAAAACAACAATACAAAATAGACTAAAAGGCTCCTTAGAGACAACAGGGGCTGCATGCACCCTTTTCTCATCGATCCATTGCTGACATATAAACTACTGGTTAGTGAAGCTTAACTTATTATCAAAATCACATTTTATATTTGTTTTCTGATTTTCTACACAGTTGCGAGCCCCCATGGTGCTGAACAAATACGTGTCACTGGCGCCTCTGCCCAGGCAGGGGACAGGAGTGGTTGAAGGCTTGGTGTGTCGGGTGTCTGGGTGGGGCTACAACAATCTGGGTGGAGGCCAGGCCCCCTTCACTCTGAGGACGGTCACAGTGCCCATTGTTTCAACTGCAAGGTGTAACAGCAGTATGTCCTTTAACGGAAACATCACAGCAAACATGATCTGTGCTGGCTACAGGACAGGAGGAAAAGATGCATGCAAGGTACAAGGAGACACTTGCTATTCTTTCACTAACATGAAGCACCTATTTTAAACAGTTGTGAGGTAAGTGGGTGTTGCACATTAATCGCTGTCCAATCTGCCCCATTGTGACAAATACGATCATCTGATCTTTGAAAAGCTATTAAATCCATTTTGAAATAATAAATCCTCCAAGGTATCCCAGCCCTGGTTCCCAGTGTATATCAAATAGCACAGGGTCATCCTTTTCATCAGTTCACATTAAAGCAAAACAACAACACAATTTTGGGAAGCTCATCCCCCTGATAGTATGAAGATACAGTTAATTATGTCAGTGTTGGTTCGGCTACAAGTTTTTATTAAACAGATGTGGCAGTCCACCGTCAGGAATTGTATTAATTATGATAGTTACAGAAGAGATAGAAAGCAACCCTGAAATAGCACCAGGACTGATAACACTGCTGTAATATTAAAGTACAGTCATTTGTAGCCACAGACAACAGCATGCTCTGATTTGGTTATTAGTAACATGATTCTACCCCGACATTTAGTGCGAGAGGGAAAATTGCATTAAATTCAATGTGTGATATACCAGTAGGCTATATTTTGCCTTAGGTAAAGAGCTGAATGACTAATTAAAATGTACTATATTTAACCCTGCAGTAGGCAACTTTGCGTGTTGGCATTTCCAAGTGGTAGCAAGAGATTATGATTTGGTGAATCCAACCATCCCTTGTTTCTCACATCTCTGTGATTTGTCGTAATGTCCCTGTGGCACATATCTTATGTGAAATGTAAGAACACACATGTAAAAACATCAGTGCTTTTTGTAAGTTTCAAATCTTTATAAATCCACATATAAGCCAGTTAGAAACTGAATTCACATACATGTATGCTTATGTGGTTTTTGGACATTTCAGGTGGGATCAAAATTCACATGATGGAGGCACATGCTTTTTTATGATCAGAAGTTTTTGCATCTTAAGTGTAGTGCCCCTATTTGACATGTGGAAACATTAAGTGTCTGATTTAACTACAGTAAACTCTGATAACTCCGATCATTTGTCTTTTCATGAGGTACATTCGTGACATTACAACTGATGAAGGATGCGGTCTTGTCCTTGCAGGGGGACTCTGGGGGGCCGCTGGTGTGTGGGGGTCGTGTCTATGGTGTGGTCTCCTGGGGCAACGGCTGTGGGGATGCTAAATTTCCGGGAGTCTACACGGCTGTGTCCAAATTCCGCCGATGGATAGACCAAACCATCTATCGGTCATACCTACGCTGTACAAAATACTGATAAAGATAGGGATAAAGCAGATATCTATGCCTGAAAATGCTTGTTCTGACATGTACCAAAGGTGGTTCCACTGATCTGATTATTCCTATAATGTGTTCAGTGCCAATATAATGATGATGCATCTCATATACTCCAATTATCTACCTGTGAACACTGCTGGTCTCTGCCCGCTGAAGTAATTGTGGGATCCACTACCATGGGCACTTTACTGTGTATGTCAATTCCAACTATGTGAAATTTATAACTTGTAAAAATACCCTTTTGTGGAAATAACTATTCAAATTCAGAGAATGTGGCGAATGTTTAAAGCCAATTTAGAGTTTGACATTGCACATGTATGTTCAGCTAAAAAAGTTATTATTTTGGTGAAAATGTGTATCTGTGCACCTTAAAGGCCCCCAAATATATTTTTTTAATCAGCTTCTTACTATGAACTGTGAGATCATACTTGAACACTACAGGTTCTGCTTTAGAACAGTTCGATTTCCCAAAGATTTCAAAGTGTATTTGTGTTTTTCTCTGTGTTTCTCTCCCACTGGGCTGAAGTGGGCGGGGATCAAACCTGATTTTTTGGGGTATTATAATCTCATTAAATCATAAACTAGGGATTTTTCCCAAAAAACTTTCTCAGCCATACATTTTTAAGGTTATAAAAAACTACGAAGTAATCATGAGCTTATAACCAGCAGCAGCATGATGTGAGCGCACTCATTATCAAGTAATACAGCAGGTAAAGCGAGACTTTTCTCCACCTGTTGTTGGTCTTACATTAGGTTTTAGCATGTAGCATCATCCAATTATTCTTACTTCACCAACCTCATTGTGATGATGTTAAGCTGTTGATGGGTCCTCTGTTTTGGTTGAGTGGCATTTTAGCTGTGGGGTTTGTTGAATTACATGTATTGCTTCTTGTTTTCTCTCTCTATCTACCTCTTTTTTCTCCTTTGTCTTTCCTTAATTTTCCCGTAATTGTTAATTGACGCTACAAACGCATTTTTTTTCTAGTATGAGACTATTTTGTGTTTAAACTGTATTCTATTTTTTTTCAGTTCATCTATACATGAAACTCTGCTTTGTATCCATGTCTGATGTTCAGTGTGGGCAGGTTTGATGAATGAAATGAAAATAATCAATACAGAAACCAGTTCTGATGACGATATAACCACATGCTGTGGAACTGAAAGAGTTGTTACTGAGATGTCCTGATATGAAAGGTGAGCCTCCGATAAAATCATGGCTTCTGTGGGTCCACAGGGAGTAGGTGTGTCATTACTGCCATTCCTTTATGAATAGTTGACGGCATATTAAAGTTAGTTCTGCTGCAGGCTTGCATATTACCTTTCATCTCATTGTCCGTGTAATGATATTTAGTTAAATTCCTGAGAATGGATATATCAAGATTTAATACCAGTCCATTGGTCCATGTCCTTCACTGTTTATCTGCTTTGTAAGATCTCTTTGTGCTGTACAGAAGACAGATTGATGTACAGTACAGTACAGTACAGACAGCAGTGGGCAGGAAACCCAGTGAGAATTAGTTTCAACCAAAGACCGTCCCTGGGGGCAAAGAAAACCAGTATCCTAGTTTGATAACAAAAACAGCTAAATGTTCTCAAGCTGGATCCTATTAGGTTTGCTCTATTATGAATCAGCATCTTAATGTAAATGTACGGCATGAGAGGATTTTAGGAATACTGGGATTTCATAGATCAAACTGTGTTTTGAAACATCTCAATATGACGTTATAAGTTAAGTTATTTAGATCATTTAAAACCTGAAACATCAAATCTGGAACATCTGGGTTTTATTCAGCAAAAATCTAGATAAAACTGCTCACTGGAGCAGGTATCTGATCCCCAGATCCCCATCTTTAAACCCCCATAGAATATGTATATATTAAACACCCCACCCCCCCTTTAGAAATTGGGGTGAAAACAGGTGAAAATAACGCAGGCCTATAGTATGTAACTGGATTTGTGCCATAGGGCCAAAAGTCACATCTCAGCCTATGAAAACACTGCCATCCTCTGGTGAGGTCTCTCTCGGTGGACATATGACATGCTCAAAACCCCCAACACCAAATAAATGGCCAATGTTGTAATATTGCAAAAAAAAAAAAAAAACAGTTTGGAAGATTTGGAAACTCATCTCTGACTGGTCGGGTGGTGGCGTGTAAAGGACGTTTTCCAACGATCTGTACTGGTGCACATTTATGAGCCATCTTTGTATATAAGATCGCCATTTGTTTGATTGCCTCTAGATCCCGGAGAGTGGAGCATTGGTACACCACGACTCCAACTGGAAGCACCTCTGGGCTGCACCAGAAAACCCCCGTACAGCTCCCTCGCCAGGTCTCCCCGGGATCCGTGTTTTGCATCGCTCCTCAATTTGCATTTCTTCCTCAGATTTTCCGTGCGACGGGTTCAGCCGCTCGAAACCAGCGGGCGCACCACGGCTCTATTGTACGTGCGCCTCCATTTCCAAAGCAATACGCACAGAGAAGAAACCTCTGGAAATTTTGAATAATGTTGCCGAAGCTCCACGAGCGGGGAAACTGAGGACATTTTGATTTAACTGTTATTGCTGTTGCGTACCTACGGAGACAGACACGTGTCTTCGGGGTAAACAGAAAAGGGCTAGATCGTGTCCGCAGATAGCGTTGTGGTTTTTTCTCCCCGTTTTGTTTGTTTTAGACGGCCGAGTTCAAGCTTGGCGAGGAGCTATACATTTCAGTTCGTGCGCCTTGGTGATAAAGACGCATTTTGGAGATGTCGGAAGTGCTACCTTTCAACGAAGAAAAAATGAATCATTATGGAAATGAGGGCGACGAGGGACACCTTTCCTTCACCTGTCGTCTTCAAGACACCAACAACTTCTTCAGTGGCTCACAGAATAAACGTCCGCCGAAACTCGGACAAATAGGCAGGAGCAAACGGGGTAATTATATAATTAAGGCGTTTTCGTTTGCATGGTGATGTGTTGAATGCGCACATAGGTTACTAGTGGACCTTTAATTAAGGATGTCTGTGTGTAGCCAGATAGGCAACACCTTTGCCTTGACATGGTCTTCACTAGTGTGTTAGATGATGATCAATTGTTTGCATGCGTGTGGGATGTATGGGGTTTTAAAATATTCTATTCGCATTGCAACACAAGTTGGATGCGCAGTGCGTGCTGTTAAATGCCTTCTGAATGCTGCTCAACAGAGTTGTGCTGGATGTCCCCTCCCCAATGAATGGAATGATTGAGATTTACACGCTGTGCAATTTTGAATTTTGTGTTTGCATGATCAATTCAGGCTGTTTGTGCTTTTTGCTTTTACATTCTTGATGACACCCATGAGATTGAGATGGTCATTGAAAATTGAGGCTCACTAGAGGTGGCACATACGGGCAGAGACATACACACACTCACACACACACACACACACACACACACACACACACACACACACACACAGTTGTACGTACAACATGGAAAACATGGCAAAAAGGCAGGCATGTAAGCATTGCACCTGTAGGTGCACGGCAATCAGACATGCACATTCACAAATGTGCATCTCACACACACACACGCACACACACACACACAATCATGCTTATGGTTATCTTTCTTTTTTGCATACCCTTACTCTCATGCATGCACACACCACGTCTGCTCATACAGCGCAGTGCTAATGGTTTTGGGCTTTAATGCCCTCCTGTCAGTCGGTGGTGAATTTTCAAGACGCCACACCAAGATGAGCCCCCCTCATTAACTCTCTCTCCCCTGTCATCCACAGTTGTGATTGAGGATGAGAATGGCGACAACGAAGCACTGAAAAATGGAACAGAGAAGACCCCGGCAGAGGCTTAGAGCGCACGGCTCACCGACCCCCAAAAGACACTCTTGAAATTTTTTATGGCGATATTTACCAGTTTTAATCCAAAGACACTGTATATAAGCACTTTCTCTCATGTGGCAGCAAGCAGCACTTCCACGCCCTCCTCTCCCAGTCTGTCATGGCCATCCGGGTGACACACACTGGCAGGGGAGGGAGATGGCAGCAAAGGAGACCCCCAGGTGGACCCCCCCGAGACACACACACACACACACACACTCACACTCTTTCTCTCAGATAAACAAACACACCCTTGATTACAGGGTTTCGCCATAAATCCAAAAGCGAGAGAAGACAACAAGAGGAGGGGGGGGCAGGGGCGAGGTGGAGGAAGGAGGCGACGCTGTCGAAATGCAGAAATCAGGGACAGGTTACAGAAATAAATCTGATATAGAAACTAAAGCACACACTTCTCCTATATCTTATCAATCAAACCTATGGTACCATTCTTTCTGCTCTTCATTTTGAGGGCAAATGAATAACAGAGTTTGTAAATATGGAAAGGGTAGCCCATATTTTCTTGCACAAAGTGGGAAGCGGTAAACTGGTTTGTTCTCTGTGTTGAAGACTTTATTGATCCTTTGGAATATGTCTTTTGCAGTGACTTAAGGCCCGAGGGAGGGTTTTTTTGTATGTCAAGAAAACTTTTGAGTGAATGAGAGTGACATTTTTTTTTCACTTTATAATTCTTGATGTTGCCTGAGTGTTTTTTGTTACCATACTTTGCAGCTAACAAGTCATTTATATACAGTGTACCTCCCACCTGTTTGTAAGCTTCCCAGGCTTTCACCTGGATTGGTTGATACTGTAACTTGACTGTACACACCCTATTGATAAACTATTTATATTGCATTGTGCATTATCGTGTGTGCCAAATCTCATGAGGGATATACTGTACCAGACAACTTGTTCTTTTTTGTGCTTTATACATTTACTCATACAATTCAGTTGTTTGGTTGGGTTGCCATTTTTTAGGGCTCTTTCTTAAAACACTGAAATACCAACTCATGCATGGCAAATATGAAATCATGCATGCACTGCAGAAGTTCTGAAACTCTTGTGTATTCTTGAAGCACCTCGTATACAGCTTTGAATGACAAACCTCGAGAAACAGTCTTAATTCTGCGTTGTACTGTACGATTCTCACTGATTTGTACAGTGGCCTAATATCTTGTAATAAAGATTATGACAAAGTACTATTTACTGTTTAGTGTTGATTGTGATTTACAATACAGAATGATGTACTCGATGTTGCTTTTTGTTTTTATAAACTGTTTTAAAACTGTAGCAAAAACTCAAAAGTCTAGTTTTGTATCAGAAAGGTAAAGACAATAGCAAAGAGCTTGGCTGACTTTTGGGTATGTTCCTTGTACAGTTTCCCGTGTTGTTATTGGATTGCCTATCTGGCTGCCAAGGAAGGTCAAGTCAGCGTTTTCCACTGTGAGAAAGTAGCATCCCATTCTTCGGAAAGATCAGATATGGAAGGAAACCGAAATGGGAAGAAAGTTGAGAAAATTATCCCATCAAGAATTTGAAATCCACACTTTGTCTTGATTTGTTGAGACACTCGACTCGGACAGCTACGCAACAGACTCTGATCTCATAAAGTGCTACAGTATTGCATATGATTCTGTGGGGGAAAATGTACACCACTGCTTCCCAATGCAATAAATGTCTGTTTGCATCTAAAATCTCAGCTCTTCTCTTTAATCAAGTCCTCCCTATAACTCCATCGCCAGAGATATAAATGGCGCAGGGCCACCGAGGCATGAGGAACACTGATGAGACGTGACATTTCCAACTCTGCTGTGGTGACTAAATGATTCATATGTGACGAGCCTCTGTCAGCGTACAGCATCCTAAACTTGGATGTGTGCTGGGAACACATACATGCAGCACACATGCACACACACACACATTTCAGCTCCAACTGCAGGCGAGACTAACATATTGCTAGTCTCTCTCCATCCCCAGTCTTGACAGACATGAAAGGGGCTGCCTCGGCTGGGTACCATGGTAACAGATGCACCTTGCACTTGATGGGTGCTGCGGTGGGTTTCGGTGCAGAATAGTCTTCCCTGAGTCTCGGCTTGATACCATCGTTATCTTTAATGGAATGTTCTCCATTCTCTTATCTCTGCCCTCTTCTCTCAAGACCCCCTATTCACTCAGTGGCGTGGCCGCATTATCCTGCCAAAATAGTCCCTTCTTCCAAGACGGCAGTCAACCATGACGATGGTGCCTACTGCAGTAACAGCCTATCCCCACACACAGAACAAGAGGACGTTACATTTAGGGAGTAATGGTCTATGATTTTCTGTGTGGTGGATCCTTTCATCCAAAACGTTGCAGCGAAAGCGCGATGTGATCGACCCAAGCTTGGCTCTCATCAGTCTTAACACAGGGTCAGATACTGATCCCACACTGTCAAACCTGTAGGACTCAACCAGAAAATCACAAAGACTGGACAAACATTACAATACCTCTGCAAAAATTATCAATTTTTAATGGGAAATTTGTCCTTCAGTTAATTTGAAGGTGCACTTTTCTTTGTTTATTCAGTATTCAGTTATATTTGGTGTTGTGTTCTCATGATTTTTAAAATTTATTTTTGGGGGCTTTTAATACCTTTAATGGATAGTGACAGCTGTATAGTAACAGGAAAGGGGTGGGGATGGGGTGGGCTGGGATGACAAGCACCAAAGGGCCACAGGTCAGAGTCGGTTGGTACATGTTCTCATTATTTTTAAGCTTTTCTCCTTGCTACATTACATAATTTTGTGCCCATAGTAAATCACAACTACACACATGTGACTCATACAGTAGTAAATTGAATACCAATTACCAGTATGCGTCACCTTTAGTAGAGGTTGGAAAAAAAGAGTGGTATTTCTGGGCAGCGTCAGGCGAGAGTTAGTAAGTAAGGCGAAAGAGTATCAGCTTGAACTGAAAGTGCATCAGTCACAAACACTGCCAAATTACACTGCATCTCATATATCAATCATGACGACAAACAGAAAAACATAAGCATTAGTAAAGATGAACAGGTGTCTCAGGTGAACACACCAGTGACAGACAATAAATGGGATAATAAGCGTCCACAATGATGATAATGACAATGATTCTCTGCTGCAGTTGAGTGAACGTTTCATTCTTACACCATTTATAAGATGGCAAACCAATAATACTCTATTTGTTGTAATTGTTTGTCTAAAAAGGGTAAGATTTTACATATTTATTATCATTATACAAAAAAATGGCTTGGTACTGCATTAGTGGCATCATTCAAAACGCATAATGCATTTTGTGGTTTCTTTTGTTACAGTTTTCTTTTTCCTAATTTCCCTTCAAAAATCAGAACTTGGTAGTGACATTACATCAATTGTGGCTTGGAGATGAAATAATGAAACATGCGGATGAAAGGTAACTCACAGAGACATTAAAAGGTAACATCAGTGATTGTATTTGATGGACAGATTCATAAATAATTGAGTAAGTAAGCAGTAAGCAGTCCATCTCCTTGGGACATTTTGTGCATGATATCTACAATCCTGTTAAAATCCTGCAACAACACTGCAGGATCATGACAGAGGAGGCCTTGTGCAACCACACTCTTTAATCTAAAGTTCATCACAAAGTATCCTGAAGTCCAGCTCTTCACCTTCACCTGGCATACAATCTGCTATCTGCTTTTATTTGCATTCAAATTTCTCTTGCTTATTTGTTCCACTGAAATATTTCGATAAACAGGTTTAAGTGCTGAGTAGACTTCACATCTACCTCTGCGTCAATCTCCCTCACTACTGACGGCCTCATCAGCATTTAATCACAGTGGTAATGCAGGAAGACATATTCCTCAGTTCATTTATATAATATAGCACATATCCAGCTGACATACGTAACACATATTCATAGATAAACACACCAACATCTCAAATGCAGATTATGTGTTTATCACACAAACCCTCTTAGCTGCATACTTAGATGTTCCTAAGTCCTAATGCTGTTATCACAGAGATGCAGCAGATGCTGCTCACCTCGGGCTGGGCAGATAAGTTCAAATTCAAGCACAAGCTTTGGCTGGGTGACCATCGCTGCTAAAAGAGGCTCAAAATCACACCTAACCTCCATTCTTGTCATTTATGTAATAGGAAGGTCTTTATTAACTTAACTCAGCCACTATTTGGATAATATCGTGGCAAATGGGTTTTATAGTGAGGACTGATGAGAGGCTAATCACTGGTGCTGTGAAAGGGGGCAGAAGAAAGTCAAGATCTGGATGTTAGGTTACATAAGCTCTGACAGGTGTAGAAGAAGAGAGAGAAAGGCGAGGAAGAGCAGAAACATGAATGAGTGAATGATATTCAGTGGGATGAGAGCTTTCATAGGCCACTGAAACAAGGAGGAAAACCACACCCTGCAAGCTCCCTGTTAGCTGCACACACACACGAACATGCACTGTACACACACTACGGCATGACTGATTCTCACACTCTTCTCCAGACTCCTGAATCTGACCTTTGTGTCGTTGCAGGGAAATACCCGCGGTGACCTCACATGCTGAGTCACCTGACTGGGAAAATCACCTCCACTCTTTCTTGGTGCGAATCAATGGGCTTCATATGATGCAGTAATAGAATGTGTATGGCATGCAAATGGGTGAGGCAACATTTGCATTTCATTCCACTGCATGTGTGCATTTGTGTGTATGCGCACATGTGCAGGTAGGTCTATTTACAGATTTTTGCTATTGGGGTGTGTGCATCAATGTACATCCTTGTGTGTGTGTGTGTGTGTGTGTGTGTGTGTGTGTGTGTGTGTGTGTGTGTGTGTGTGTGTGTGTGTGTGTCTGTGTGTGGTGGGCTCAATTGGCATTGGGATCAGGTATTCTCTCGCTGATTGAGTCTCTGCTGGGAATTCACAAGGACACGAAGAGGGAAAAGGGAAATGCAGCCCTGGTTGCAGTCCTGGTTGGAAAAATAAATAAATATCCCTTTAGACACAACACCAGAATATTCTGCCTGCTCCCAAGTGGGGTTTTACGTCAAGTTTTTTTTTTTCTTTTGGGCAGAGCTGAATAAGTGCATTTGACCAAATAAAACAACCCTGCCTCTGATATTATGGTAAAACCCACTTTGTTTGCAGCAAAATCGTGATTGCAGGTGACGTCAATCTTTCAAGCAAGTTCCCCTCTCAGATATCGGTCGAGCTTTTACTCATCTCCAAAAACCCTAACCTTATGACAAATAATTTGAAAAAAGGGGGGGTAAGAGTCAGTTTTAACAGATGGGACTCGCAGGGCAGCGTGATAAAAATGGGCAAACAGCAGACAAAGACAGGGACCACTCCACATTAACATTAAACACTCTCTCTCACTGTTTTCTAAGGAAAGTGAAGAGAGCTGGAGGAGGGAGGAGGAAGGGCGGCAGGCAGGCAGATCGGAAGAGAGTGGGAGAGCGGCACGAGAGGGAGATGAGGAGATAAGAGAGATGGAGAGCCAGGAGAGAAGGAGGAAAAGAGAGGGATAAACAAAAGTGAGAGTAGAGGAAGAGAGAGGAAGAGAGACAGAGGCTCAATATGATGAAATGAATGCCAGGGAGAAACAGCTCAGACCCACCAGATGGTTACTATAGCAACCACATCCCCAGTCTCGCTCTCTCTCTCTGCCTAGTTGCTTTGTTGCTGCTTTAAGTCTGTGGAGGGAAACCAACAACTGAGAGAGAGACAGATTTTTACATTTTGGTGCAGTGGCACTGTATAGCCTCATAACCAACTTTACATACTTGAGTATGCACTTGTATAGGTTCAGTATGATGTTGGTTATTGCCTCTTGGTTGTGGCTTTGACACCCGGCGTCTGTCACAAACCCCCTGTCAGCTGCTGCTTAATGGTATTGGAACAATTCCATGCAAAAGCTTATGCGTGTTTAAGTGCATGCATGACGGTGCACCAGTGCAGAGTCATGAGGAGTTCAAGGAAAAGTCACCAGCAGGAGTCTCTTGTGACCTTAATAAATGCTGTGTTTTACCTTTGACCCTGCCTTACTGACAGACACACAGGCATCCTCTGTATGTGTAAATGCGTACGGTTTGTATTGCAACGTGGGCATTTCTGTAAACACCGCAGACAGATTGAGATGCTATAAACGTTCTCCTCAAGCTCAGCAGCAGCGCACTACAGTTTCATACACAGAATG